TGATTGGTTGAATAAAGTTTTCACGGTTTTTACAAATTGAGTGGTTTTTATTTGAACGCTCCTCTATATATAGAGAGAGAGGTGAGCTATTATGCAACCATTTACATTTGTACAACCAATACAACTCAATCTCAACCGTCCATTTAATTTGATGAATATTGATTTCATAAAAGTTTTGATTGTTTTCTAATATAAAATATTTGATCATAATTAATGAACCCTATTAATCTTTCATAAATATTTAAATAATGATAAATGAACTCTCATCATTTCCATTAATGTAACCCAATTAATTGAGATATTTGTGGAAATGATGAGAGTTCATTTATTATTATTTGAATATTTATGGAAGATTACTAGGATTCATTAATTATGATCAAATACTTTATATTAGAAAACAATGAAAACTTTTATAAAATCACATATTCATCAAATTAAATGAACGGTTAATATTGAGTTGTATTGGTTGTACAAATATAAAATGTTACATAATAATCCACATATATATATATATATCAAATGATTGATTTGATGTGTAACAATTACGTGGTTTATATTTAAAATATATCGTATAATTAAATTGGCATTTTTATTTATTAAATTTAAAATTAAAAGCTGAAAAAGGCCGTTGATACAAAGCATTCATCATTCCTGATTCGGGTCAAGACAAAACCCGAACTCAACGGCTATAATTCCGCTCTCCCACTCCACCATCGATCGACATTTTCCCTGAATTCATAAATCCGACGAATCTATCGGACTACTTTGAACCCTAAAAACTAATCAATACCAACTCAGATGCAATTTCTGTTTTTTGGTAATCGTTTCCTTACAAGAATCCGTCTCTGTTCATCTTCAATCCATCGATATAGAGCTCATCAATTTCTTCAACTTGGCTTTTGGTTCTTCCCAGTCAGGTAAGGATCCACGCAATTAATCGAAAAAAGTTTCCTCCTACAGGAACACGTACATGATCCATTTCTCGATTGTTCCCCATTGTGTCCCCGATCTGTTTGCCCTTTTTTCGTAATTGATTGCTATTTGAAGCGATATTGGTGAGTTTATTTGAAGATTCAGAGCTGAATCTCTTCTTTTCGAGTGATTTGAAGAAAATGCCCCTTGATACGAGGCTCTTTGGGGGGGTCTTTCTGTTGAAAGGGCATTAGGGTTTTGGTCGTTTTTGTGTTTCTGTTTCTGAACAAAGTAATCAATCATATGTTCTGTTGAAACTTTTTCAATTCATTAGGGCTTCTTCTTGTTGTTGTTGTAAGTGTGACACATTTTGGGTGTTTTGATTTGGAGATTTGATCATTGATCGTCTCCACTTTGAGTTCTGATTTATGTCAAAATATGTTGTAACAAAAGTAGTGAAGAAGACGAAGAAGAAGGGAGAGTTCTTTAGAGATTTATAAGATTTTTGTGGATCAAATTGATAAAATGTCGGCTGTTGATGTTGCTTTGAGTCCTTTTCACATAGAATCTGGTTATATTCACAACCGGAGCGAATCCATCGTCATATACCTAACTGTAGCTGGTTCCGTGATTCCCATGTGCATTTTGGAGTCCGATTCGATTGCGTCAGTTAAACTTCGGATTCAAACTTGTAAAGGATTTTTAGTGAAGAAACAGAAGCTGGTTTTTGAGGGAAAAGAATTATCAAGAAATAATTCTCTTGTTAAAGACTATGGTGTTTCAAGTGGGGATGTCCTCCATTTGATCCTTAGGGTTTCTAACTTTCTAGTGGTCACAGTTGAATCTGCTTTCAGGAAAGAATTCGAATTTCAGGTTGACAGGTTTAGAAACGTTGGGTATTTGAAACAAAAGATAGCAGAACAAGCAAAAGGGTTCGCGTTCATCAACGTTGAGGATCAAGAAATCTTGTGCAATGGTGAGAAACTTGATGATCAGAGGCTTATTGATGATATCTGCAAGAATCGTGATGCGATTGTTCATTTGGTTGTTCAAAAACCCGCACAAATCTGCTCTAAGCCGGCCAAAAGGGATCTTGAAATCTATGTTGATTCACATGTGAATGAAGAAGGAATTCACAAGAAATCACCGAATGTTGGTTTCCCATTGCAGCCTGTTATCATCAACCCGAATCTGAAATTTTCGCCCGCCATATGGAGTATGCTAGCCTCTGCAACCGAAGGATTGAAGAAATGGAAAAACCCGATTAGATCATCTGAGGGCACCGGAGGAGCGTACTTTATGCAACACCCATCGGGAAACAAATATGTTGCGGTTTTCAAGCCGATAGATGAAGAACCAATGGCTGTTAATAACCCTCGTGGACTTCCTCCATCCACGGATGGTGAAGGACTAAAGAGAGGGACTAAAGTAGGCGAAGGTGCATTGAGGGAGGTTGCAGCTTACATCCTGGACCATCCACGGACTGGACCGCGGTCAATTGATGGTGAGCCGGAGACGGGTTTTGCCGGTGTACCTCCTACCATCATGGCTAAGTGCTTGAACTCGGAGTTTAACCATCCACATGGCTATGATGGTGGACCAGAGAACATAAAGGTTGGATCTTTGCAGATGTTTGTTAAAAACTATGGAAGTTGTGAAGATATGGGTCCAAGGGATTTTCCGGTGGAGGAGGTTCATAAGATAACGGTGTTTGATATACGAACGGCAAATGCTGATCGGCATGCCGGGAATATCTTGATGAGCCGAGAAGGGGGTCGGATTGTGCTCATCCCTATCGATCATGGATACTGCTTGCCTGAGAATGTAAGAACTCACCACTGTATTTATTATCTTCATTCTGTTGGAGTAGATAGACTTGATCTTTGTATATGCCGGAGCCCCCATTCGACTCTTTTGGAGAGTAATCTAACAGGGTTCTATATATTCTTACATGGTATCAGAGCAGCTTACCACTCTAGGGTATGAGAGAATTGTGTCATTTGAACCTGACCTATATATATATATATATTAAGAGCTCTTTTGGAGAATAATCAAATGAGCTTTCACAATTCTCGCACTTATGATAACATTCTAACCGGCATTTTTTGATCTCTTTTCAGTTCAAAGATTGCACCTTTGATTGGCTCTATTGGCCACAAGCACGTGAACGCTACTCGCAAGAATCTCTCGACTATATAAACTTGTTAGACGCAGAGAAAGACATAGACCTCTTGAGCTCGTTCGGTTGGGACCTCTCCTCAGAGTGTGCACTCACACTGCGTATCTCCACCATGCTTCTGAAAAAAGGCGCATCGAAAGGCCTCTCTCCCTTCGCCATTGGTAGCATTATGTGCAGAGAAACATTAAACAAAGAATCCGTGATCGAAAGAATGGTTCAGAAAGCCTACGATTCCCTGCTCCCTGGAATGAGCGAGGCTGTGTTTCTTGAAACCGTCTCCAAGATCATGGATTCCGAGCTCGATAACATCTCTTTACGGCTCGTATAGGTATAATATATGTATGTATGTGTCGGTTTTCTGGTTGTTTTTATGAAGTATTTGGTTTGAAACTCCGTCTGAGATGTATGGTCGACGGAAGTTTATAACGATACGAATAAAAGTATGATCAGCATTTGTGTTTTTTAGATCGCATTGCTGAATTGGGGTTTTATACTACATAATCGTTGTTTTTAAGAACACTTGTGAATTCAAATTTCTCAAGATGGTTTCTTTGATTCTGGTTTTGTTGGATGCAAAAAGCGTAAAACCGAACGAATATATCGAATTTGGCGGGACCCGATTGGTTGAAAATACCGTTTTTCGTTCCGGATTAATCTAACGGCTAAGGAGGTGGACATGATAAGTGTAACGCCGAATGCCCCGAGCGCCCTATAAACAGTATCATATTCAACAATTTACCGGGTAAGTGTTAACCGTGGTAAGAGTTATCGTCTTCACTTACCGGGTAAGACTCCTCAGTCCTTGCATTCCCTCATAACAGATAAGATTTTTGATCCTTACTATATACATCCGATAAGATAATATAACTTAATAAATGTTTGTCCATGTAAACATTTGATAAACGACCCGGAAGCTATTTGACATTTGATTTTCATGAATTTTGTCCAAAATTCTAAACTTTAACCTCAAAAATCAAGTTTTAAACTTGAAAATCTAAAAAAAAAAAAAAGATTCCCCACCCCCACCCCCACCACCAGTCTGACCACCGCAGCCTCCACTAGCATCCAAAAGCTCCGCCCTCCTCCGCCTCGTAAACCGAGCTCCGATTGGCCCACTTTTATCCTCTGTTTTCCTTTTCACTACAGTAAAATTGTACAATAACTTGTTCCTCTATCTTCCATTCCCACTCAAAAAGTATTTCACTCTTTGTTTTTTCAAAATTACTTTATAATATCTTTGAAGTCTGATTTGTTCGGACATTTGGGTATTAAGAGTGTTTGTTTTATTTTTAAAATAAGAACTTAAAGACTTTAAATGTCTTTTGAAATTTTTAGTAGTAAACGTATCTCTTAATACCTCTTAATCTTAATCTTCCCTCTATCAAATAATTCATATTTTGGGGGTTGGAAGAGATTTGTTAGCAAAAACTATTTATCTTTTATATTTCTGTTATAAAAAAAAAAACTATTCGTCTTGTATATTTTTTACACTAGTTTAACCGATTCAAATTTCAGACGTAAAAACAGACAATATTATTGATCTAGATTTCAGACTTCAGGACCAACTCTTGTAAATCAGAAGTGGAAATCATACTTCAGACTTCAACACCTATTAAAAAACAAATGTCACCTTATTATAAATTTATAAATCTATATGTTATTTATTTATCAAACATGTGTAAAGCTATATATACGGTGCGTTTTTTTTATATACGAAACGTTTATGACTATTTTTTTATATGAGATATAGTTTTAAACCTTTCACGTATGAAATAACTAGGGGAGAAACTATATACGTCCCAGTAGGCTTCCGTAAACCAGTTCAACTTATTTCACAAGTAATGATGGCCAAACCAGCCCGGGACCGTCGGAGGACCGGAACCGGGACCGGCCAAGGACCGGTTATGGGCACATTTCATGACCTTATCATTTTTTACACTACAATTAAGGAACAAAACAGTAACCTGTGGTGGTCTGGGATGCTCAAAAATCCAACCAACCCGATCAACCCAACTCAATCCAATGCGAAACAACTCAACCCGAAGCAACCCGATATCTAATCGAGTTCTAAAATTTTCAAACCGTAGGTATTGGGTTGATATTGGGTTACTATTATTTGAATCCAATCCAACCTGATGAACCCGATATCMTTTTATTTCTTGGATTTAATATGATTGTTGAGTTTATATTAATATATACATTAGACAATTACATTACCACATACGCTATTCATATATACATATTTTCAATCTATTCTCCATCTATATATAACTCATTCGTATATATGTTTAGTAACTGTGAACATATATATATATGTAAATTGAGAAAATTAATTGAACGTAATACACGTAAAAAATATGAATAAGTTGTATCAAATTAATGTGTTTATATATGCAGATTTATATGTATTCACACATTCTCCAACATACACGTTGAAACTGAAGCATGATTTCAAAAAGATAACTCTCAGTGGACACTGTCTCACTCTCATCATGGGAGAAGGACGGAAAAAGCCACCGGCGCCGCCGTCTGGCCGGACTAATCTAGCTTCATGCATCGTAGCCACCGTCTTTCTAATCTTCATCGCCATTATCATCCTCATCATCTTCTTCACTTTGTTCAAACCCAAAAACCCCAACATCGCCGTCACCGCCGTCCAACTTCCGTCGTTCTCCGTCACCAACACCACCGTCAGCTTCACCATATCCCAATACGTCGCCGTCAACAACCCCAACCGCGGTGTCTTCACACACTACGACAGCTCCCTAAAGCTCCTCTACTGCGGCGATCAGGTTGGGTTCATGTTCGTTCCCTCCGGCAAGATCGAAGGTCGTCGGACGGAGTACATGGCTGCTACTTTTGCCGTGGAATCTTTTCCGGTATCATCGGTGATTAACCGTCCGGCGGAGGGGTTGCAGGTGGGACCCAGTTTGGAGATCGAAACGAGAATGGAGATGGCGGGTCGGGTCAGGTTGTTGCATTTCTTTACGCATCACGTGGAAGTCAATGCCGATTGTAAAGTCGCCGTCGCCATTGACGACGGATCTGTGTTAGGTTTTCACTGTTAGCCTTTTGTATTTGTGTACGTTATTATGAATCTTGATGATGATGAAATATCCGACAACCAATCTATCACACGCTATTTTATATGATTTTTTTTTAATATTTGGTTAAAATTACTAAGGTTATTCGCAAAATGCATCAAGATATATAATGATTTTAATATTTTGTTTTATTTTTTATCTCAGTTGATGTTATAAACGGTCTTATGTGATTTTGAGAAATCGATTATGTTTTTATTTTCGAATAAAATATAAATTTGAAGATATAATAAAAATTTAACAAAAATATATCGACATTAGTATTAAATTAACCATTTAAAATTCCTTATTTTTTGTATAATTTTTTAATTATAATTTAATTTAAGTACAATAACGAAGTAATTTATATTTGGTTTAATAATATAACTTTCTTTATAAAAATAATAAATAATTATTTTGTTAGAACTCGATAATTATCTTAATTATATTTTAGATTTTTTATATTTTAAAATAAGATGTTTATCCTTTATTTGATTATGTTTAACTGCAGTTAGTTATACGAATTCAAATGTCGAGCTTTAATAAGTTATACTTATGCATAATTTACTTGTAATCTTGAATTTTAAATAATATGCATCAATATATAATACCTTATGCATAAAAATGGTTTTTAAGAATTTTTGCCAAATGTTCTATAATATAGTATAGATTATATATAATAATATTAAAGAAAAGTATCGAAAAAACACAATAAACTTTTTCATTTTGAATAATTAAGTTCTTAATTTTTTTTTAATAAAAATAAGTCATTGAAATACCTATATTGTTTTAATTCATAAAGTGTACCTTCAACCAGGTCCATATATGAACCCATAATTTTTTTCAAACAATGGCACCATTTGACTATAAAAAAAATATAGAGAAATTTTTTCAAATGGTAACATCGTTTGACTATAAGAAACATATATACATAATTTTTTCAAATGGTCAAATGGTGACACCATTGGACTAAGAAAAGGACATTAACATGATTCGAACTTGGATCTAGGTGGAATAAAAGTCTTGCAAACCAACTATACCAGATAAAACTTGTTCTCATTGTAGTTTCAAAATACATACGATAGCACACAAGAAATTAATACGGTTGTACGTTTTACAAACCTAAATTTTGTAACCCTTCGACAGAGGAATAGTACGGTGGCACACCACTATAGGTCCGTCCCTGCTTGCAACCGAGTAGAAAGTTGTAAAGTAAAAAAGAAAAACAAAATCAATTTTACTGCTTTTAGATCCTACACCATTCTATCCCTTTGCAACGAACGTCATTGCTATCTCTCACTCTCCCATTGTTGTTCGTTTTTCATGATAGCCGTTGGCCCGTACCATCAATCTCCTTTTTATCACTTTTTTGTACGTTATTATGCATTTTCCTCTCGATTGCAATATTTCATTTTATCCTGTCTATGTCGATATAATATTGTTTTATGTGGTTTTGAGAAATCGACAATGTTTTTATTTTCAATAAAATATAAACTTGAAATATTTTCATTAAAATATAAACTTGAAAATATCATAAAAATTTGAAATATATATATATATATATATCGATATTGGTATCAAATTAACTATTTAAAAGTTATCTTTATTTTTGGTATAATTTTTTTAATTCAATTTTTTTTATTATAATTTAATTTAGATTTAATAACAAAGTAATTTATTTTTAATTTAATAATATAATTTTTTATAAAGATAATCATTAAGTATTATGTTAAAACTCAATGATAATCTAATTATATTTCAAAAAATATATATTTAAAAATGAGATATTTATCATGTATTTGATTATGTTTATCTACAGTTTGTTACACGAATTCAAACATAAAGTCTAATAAATTGTACTAATACATAATTTATTTATAATCTTAAACTTTAAGTAATATGAATCAATAAACAATATTCTATATATAAAAAATAGTTTTTAAATGTTTTTATCAAATACTTTATAATATAGCATAGACGGTTAACCACATCCATTCGATCATATCAATTTAACAGTTAAGATATGTTTTTCCGTTTTTTTCTCTTCAGGATTCTCCGTTCACGGTATCCAACAAAATATCATGTAACAACACAATATAAAAACTATTAAAAACACTTGTTTTAATTAACTTCAAAATAACATAATCACAAATTAATCAAAAGATCATCCACCATCATCATCATATATCATACGGTTGTTTTCCGGTGAACTTGACTTCAATTGGACTAACATTCTTTCCGATGGACCTCATATTCTGCCCCACCCCCTGCCGGCCGGCGTTCACTTTTTCCGGGTACACCCCATCTTTCGGATGCAAATACTGCACTTCCCCATTCGGAAACACCCTATAAAACTGGTATTTTATCTTGTATTTTGATCTCAATCTTGTCCCCAAAGCTAAACACTGTTCTTTTCTTGCCAATTTCAACAGATTTGGTCCTTCTCTCATGATGGCAGCACCGCCGGTGGGCATTTCAAAGATTTGTTCTTTTGGTGATTCCCATGTGATCACGTAGAATTCCTCCACCTGAGCTTTTCTGAGCAGCCCGCCGGTGCTTCCGGCGAAGATTGGAGATGGGGTGTTGGGGTCTAATTCCGGTGGGGTGAATCCCGCCGGAGCTTGTTTAGTGGGGATGTCGTCTGTGGCGGCGCCGGAGGCTTTGATGGTGGTGAATCGGGTGGTGGGTTTGGGTGGTTTGACGGTGGTGAAAGTGGTGGTGATCGGAGAGGATTGTTTCCATGGAGAAGATGATGGGGTGGAGATTGATGGTGTGAAGAGGGAAGCTTGGGTGGCCATGGCCATCGGAGGTGGAAGAAATTGAGATGAAAATAGTGGAGGAATGAGGGTTTTGTGAAGTGGGGTGGTGGCGGGTGATGGGTTTTGATGGGTGGTGGCGGTGGTGGATTTGGTGGTTTTTGAGATAAGGTGGGGTTGGATAAGATTTTGTGGTAGCCAATAAGAATGTAGTATTTGATCCATCCTCATATCTTCTCCTATTGCCACGTGTATATCATTGGACTATTCTATCCAATCAAAAAAATCCACTTGGAAAATAATCTAAAATATGTGTAAGGATTGGTTCTCGTTTCAGTTTGTACCCAATCTTTATGTAGAAGGCTTACGCATATGTGTAAATATTGGTTTTCGACAAAAAAAATGTGAAATCCTTACGCAGAAAGTGACCGAAAACCAATGTTTAGGTATATACATAAGCCTTCTGCATAATGTCCGGTTACAAAGTGAAATGAGATCTGAAGATGGCTAAAAAGTGAAAAATGTTTGGAAGATTGATTATTTCTGTAAATTTCCCAAATTTATACATGATATTTTATTTTTAATAAGTTTCAATTGTCAAAAAGAATAACCGATTTACACCCATCATTGTAGTTAAGACCTCACTCCATTGACTTGAACTCATGTCAAAAGATTCATCAACCATGATTTTTAAATGTGAATGAGGTTGTTTGTTTACCTTTTAATAGTTCAATTAACAGGCAACCTCTGAATCGTTAAGAGATGAATCTTGTTTGGCAAACAAAAAATTATGTCTTTTAATGGTTCTAAAACCTTCTGAATAATTTTGTATCATGTTCTCTTAATTATCAAACAATTATATTTCATTTTGTATAATATCTTGAGACCCTCTTAATCATTTTGATCACTTAATCATTCTGCACCAAACTATTCAGCAATTGTCAACCATCCCTTGAATGTGATTAAAATATATATTTTTGTCCCACCATAGTGGGTGAAAGAAAATTAAAGAGATGTAACAGAATTGGTAAATTACTAAACTTCTCATGTTAAATTAAAATCTAAAGACTTACCAAGTTTATGTCATCTGTCTATCTCACTCTTGTCCATCCAATTCTATTTTGGGGGGTTTACTTTCTTCGACGAATTTTTCTGGTTTTTTAATGATTTCGAGGGACTTTTGGTTGACATTCCTTCTATTTTCTAATATCCTTGAGCACCATTCAAAGTTTAACAAATGCAACTTTCATACCCCAAAAAAGTGCACTGGACCCGCTCATCAACTCATAGGTCCCCGCCCCTATATATTGCCACTTTAGCTTAATGGCTTAACGATTAAGACATAAAGATACAAGTCAAACCCATATTTGTACTCATAATACAATCACAATTAAAAATAAGATATCCAATATGGCAAGGGCAAAAAGGGAAAGAAATACAGAATGTTGTTATATATGTATGTAATGCCCCTTTTTTCCATCACTACACAAACACAGTACAAGATCTCATGTACAAGAAGCTGACCTATAATTTGTAAAGAGAGTAAAAGGGTACCCATGGAGTTAAAAAAATGACACTATAAACTACACCTTTTTATTTGTTTCACTTTGGTTGTTGTTAGCATATATCTAACCTCCTCCTCATATGATGACTTTGTAACTTTTGAAATCCACCGGCATTTCGTTTATTTGGTTTGGTAACCGTACGGGTTCTTGTTCACCCAGTTCCATTGATCTCTGCACATCTCCTCTATCCCGTACTCCGCCCTGCGCTCATAATTGCAATCGAATATAAGACGTTTATTTGACATGGGTATTTTAGTAATTTACCATTCTTGTCCCATATATCTGAAAAAAAAAAGGCATTTTTGTCTCCCTCTGTCCTATCCTAGTCTAATGTCGCACCAAATGCAAAGTTGTTAAAGGCTCAAGACACACTTAGAAGCAAAATGGTCCCAAGGCCTAGGCGCGAGCCTCAGGATTGTGAGGCGCATCTTATAAAAAATAAGTATATATATATATATATATATATATATATGTGTATGTATACACACACACACATGTACACAACTCAAATATGTGAGCAAGTACTCCAGTGCGGCAACTAGCAGTACTTCGATAGAAGCAAGAGGGAGAAGGGTTTAAAGCGTGAGCCATGAGGGAGAAGTTTTAAGGTCCGGGTATTTATAGAGAAAGAGGCTTGAAGCTATAAAACCTGTGTATTTAATAACATGGTTTAACTTATGTCATCCATTTAATATTGGCGTTTGACTTGGTATTTACTACTCTTTATGAGGCGCACCTACGCCCACAAGACGCCTCAGCCAAGGCACAGGGACTTAGTGAGCCTCGTGAATACACCTAGCCTCGACTTTAAAAAAGCCCATGACCTTGAACCTTATGAGCCTCAGAGCCTATGTCGGACAACTTTTTGTTCTGTCATGTCCCATTATAACGCATCCTAAGAGCTCATATGGATCGAGCCAAAGCTCAAGCTTATAATCCAAGATGTTTTCAAGCTTGCAAAGCCACTAGCCAAGCATGCACCTATACATTTTCTCACGAGCCGATCCCAAGCCAACGTTTTTTTTTTCATGAATCAAGCAAGCTTGGCTCAAATAAGTGAATAACCCCTATTCATATGTGAATACACATGTATAACACACTTATCTTGTGCGGTGGGTGGTTCAATTTTTTATTTCTATCAAATATTATGTCCCCTGAACATTTCAACATTCCTCTCTTTTCAGAAAGATAACCAAACGGACCCAATAAATCCCACTTGAAAGTAGGGTCTGGGAGGTGTCAGATGTACGCTGACCTCTATCCCAAAGAGTAGAACAGTTATTTGGCAAAAACTTATAACCAAACACTTACTTCCAGTTCAATTCGAGCTCTGCCTTTTCCGTTGAAGCATATACGATCTCAGCATCACCAGGGCGCCGTCCAGCTATTATTAGAGGAATTTTCTGGATCAAGACAGCGAAGAAGTTTAACCGTTACATAAATGACGAATTCAAGAATACAAAAAAGTGGTTAATTTAGGAACATCAAACACTTTTCAGGAATCGGGGGTACTCGTTTTCAGTTTTTCGTATTTGTAATGCACAAAACTTTCTAGAAATCTACCTTTCCTGACATCTTTTCAAACGCGGCCACCATCTCCAAAACAGACGTTCCTTTACCGGTTCCCAAGTTGTAGACCTCACAACCTGAATATCACATCATCGTCCAAATGAGATAAGGAACACGTCATGCAATTAATATAGCGATCAAATATTATCCAACGTAACCAAAGACATAATTCCAGAGCTAGAGCAATGGCCATTCAAAAGGGATAGATGCTATAATTATAAAGATCTGTATGTATATCTGTAATACATGAATGGAGGCAGGTTCATCCGAGAACCATAAAGAACCAATTATTCATAATGAATAATCATGAATTAATATTCAAAATGCATGAATATCTATGTATATTCATCCTAAATAGTTGGTTCTCACAGTTACAGTTCCTAAATGAACTTCCCCCTACATGTATATCTATTTATATACACATAATAAGCACAATTTTTGAATTCCATAAGACATTTAAAAGTTATTTCTGACACCATTTATAACCGTTTTCATATAAGTTACAAATCACAATCAACGATTTACAGAAAATCTTAACTAATTAACATGAAAAAAAGACAGACCTATTTGTGGATCCGATAGTTTTCTTAACGCAGCCAAATGCCCATTGGCTAAATCTGCAACATGAATGTAATCACGCACCTAAAAATTGAAAAAACGAACCCAATTAACAACAAGAACGATAAACATATCCCATTAGTTTCCAAGTTAAGTAAGAATCAAAATTAGAAGCATACCCCAGTTCCGTCTTTGGTTGAGTAGTTGGTTCCAAATACTTTGAGTGCAGGTAGCCTTCCAACGGCTACTTGTTGAACAAATGGCATAAGATTGTTTGGGGTTCCGAGAGGATCCTCGCCAATATGCCCACTAGGATGTGCACCCACCGGGTTGAAGTACCGAAGCATTATAATTTTCCATCCAGAATCCGAAGCATATATATCACGGAAAATGTCCTCAATCATGAGCTGAGGCAATTAAAACGTTTACTACTCCTTTCATCCACAAACAAGTATCAACATTTCTATTTTAGTTTGTCTAAATATAAGTGTTTGAATCAACCCTTAGTTAAAAGATAAAGAAACCTACGACTCCCTCTATTATCAAGGGTAAATTCGTCATTTTTAATTAATTAAAAAAGGGTAATAATTAGACATTTCTAAGCCCGTGTCTTTTTCCTTAAAAGGGTAATAATCACACAGATGGAATGGTAATAGATAATCCGGGCTATTTAGTAGAATGACCTCAAAAAAAGAATCTAAGCATCTAACCCTTCCGTGTTATTTCTAAGTTTTGAACCACGGGCAGGCCAGATGAAGGTCATTGAGCTAATTGAAAAGTCATTTAAGGTCATCTCATTCATAAATCGTTCTATTTACACCAACCGAGCATAGTATAAAAATATGTGCTATATTCATACCTTGGTTCGTCCATATGGATTGGCTGCAGATAAGGGGAACTCTTCCGTGCATGGCACTTCCTTTGGCCAACCATAAACAGTAGCCGATGATGAAAACACGATCTGAAAATTTTGAAAACCAAGAAGCATGTCATATTAACACATTGGCAATCTACTTTGGATGTCGGTCTTACCCCCCCCCCCCCAAAAACATCAATATGTACTCCCTTCGTCCCAAAGCTGTCCACATTCTATTTTAGGGGCTGTTTGGTTGGTTTTCCATTAAGTTCTGTATGGATAAAGTTGTCTGTGTGGATTAATATGTCTGTATAGATTGGGAAGGTTTTTATTTGGGAGGGTTTTTCCATAGATAGAAGGGGCAAGTTGGAAAAAAAAACTTGGCTTTCTATATAAAGCTTCCCCCTAGAAACTTACTGAATAAGCCACTTTCTATATCATTATAGCTGACTGAATAAGTTGTGAGTCTTATTAAGATCATTAAGTTGCTAAGAAACAGACCCTTAGTTTGTCCCAAAATAAATCCACTTTCAAAGTGCCTACTCTCCAAGGGTAAAATTGTCATTTAATTAATTAAAAAGTGTAACAATTACACATTCATTTTGGGACGAAGGGGGTACAAAATAGAACACATCCTATACCTTTTTGCATCCATGGGCATCCATAACTTCCAACAGAGCTAAAGTACCGACAACATTGTTGTCATAATACATCAACGGCTTTTGAACACTTTCACCAACGGCTTTCAATCCAGCAAAATGCATAACTGCATCAAACCTGCATATCAATCTTCATCAATCCGCATTCCCACTTGTTTATAAAAACCATCGTTATCATCCAAATTGAATGGATTAAACAGCAAAGAAGATCATCCATTAAGAAAATACACAACATTCATTGTGAATGTATGCTTAATGTATGTAAATGCGTTAAACAAACGATGGGATAACTTTACTTTGTGGAGGCAAAAAGCTTCTCTAATGCAGGCTTATTCCGGATGTCCATCTGCAGCAAAACATAAGAACACAAAACCAAGTGTTAAACTAATAAATGAATTGATTAATGTAACTAGATATAGCCCAAACAACTTTAGTACTCATTCCAACATAAATCTGCACAGTGACATTACTTCATTTATGTCCTGTACAGATAAAACTGACTATGGATTAATCTGTCTGTATAAATTGAAAGGGTTTTTTCATAGATGGAAGGAGCGTGTCTTTTAATTGGGAGGGGCAGGTTCGGAAAAAACTAGGCTTTCTACATAAAGCTCCCCCTAGAAGCTTAAGTTGTGAGTCCTATTAAGCTCATTAAGCTCATAACAGACAGACCCTAACTCTCTGAATATAAGCAAAAGTTCACACTTTGACAGCAATCCGAAGTCCGGAGATATGATGAAAACCCAACAAATAACAAATTACATCGACTTAAAAGTGATATCTTTGAAGAGTGACCACCTTCGCAGACCATTTTACTTATCTTTTCTTGAAATTAAACCCTTGTTCTTGTGAAAAGGCAAAAAGACGACGAAAACCTACCGAATTTGGACCCAAAAAAAAAGTACATCGGTCTTTCTTTACATTTCTACAATTTATCAAAAATCACTCATTCCAAATAGTGTCCTTTTTGCATATTTCAGAAGATCAAAGATGGTTGATAGAATTGTTCAATCTAAATTATGACCCTTGGATCAAGAATTACAAAAAAGGAAAAAAGATCAAAAGAAAAAGAACCCTTTTCTCATCTAATTTTTTGTGGGCATACCTCCAATGGAATTGGAACTCCTACCAACCCAAAACTGTAACATCAATCAATTTCACCCAATACAAGAATTATAGGTCAACATCACTTGACATAACAATCACTAGGGCATAATTATATAAAGATTAAATTTAAAGAAATTTATCCAATCAAATTAATCAACAATGATTACTTATCAATTCAATTCATCAACAATTATTGAGTATGAGAATAAAACTTCAAAAACCCAATTTCAAGACCCAGAATTAAAGTCAGAATGCAGTCAAATTACATATAATCAAATGGAAAACTCATAAAATGAAGTCCAATTTAGAACTAAGATTCAAGAAATCTGAAGCAATGGAGAAATTGAAAGGGTCCCACAATCCTATCATCAAACCCCAAATGGGAAAATCAACATTCAATACAAGCACTTCAAGTAAGCACCAAATCCAAATTGGAGACTAGATTGAAAGAGGGGAAAAAGAGGAAGAACATTAAACCTTGTGAAAAGTTAGGTTAACAGCATGATCACCGGCGAGTTCTTGAACTCGATTGATAGCGACTTGAGATGAATTGTCAAAATTATCAATCACCACCGTCTTGTAACCGCCTAACAGTAGCTGTAAGACGGTGTGACTCCCAATATATCCGGCACCACCGGTGATCAATACGCATTGTGGTGCCGCCATTGAAGTAAGTAAGTAACTAATTCACAATGTATATACCAAATCGCTATCAAATCGAACACAGGCGACTGAATTGAATACAAATCGCCCTTCCTTTTCTCTCTCTCTCTCTCTCTCTATATATACATATACATGTATCTATATATACAGATTATATGGGGGATCTGCGAAGAGAGAATATTTGTGTGTGGGTTTTGACAGATGGGTTGAATCGGACAATTGTTTGGGTGTTTGTATATATACATTACATGTGGGGTATTGAATTGAATTGAGAGTAGGGACAGATTGGAAGAATGAAGGTAAAAAAGTAGGGTTTGTTTAGTCCACTTTCCGCAATCCCGATTTGGGGAAAACGAAGAAATTTGGGGAAGAACACTAAAAAATGTAGGGTTCAAATCCATTTTTCTTCTTGATGATGGAATACTAAACTACATGAACAAAAACCCTTTCACATTTTCATCGATTCCTTTTGTCTTGAAATTGGGTTAAATGTAAAATATGTGAAATAAAATGCATTTTGATTTGGATTCAGATTTTTATTTGAAACCCGTGTTTCGAGAGACGGTTTATAATAGAAAAATCAGATGTTTTTCGAAATCAATTAAAAAACTTAAAAGCATCCCTCGAAACAGTGTACTTCAGTTAAAAAACACATCGAACGACTTTATGAACTTTTGATTCTCTTAAAAGTGTACCCACTCGACAACATTTCTAGGTCCACTGCTATTTAAACGGATCTTTGAACGACTGTTCCTCAAAATATGAAATGAACGATTCTTTTACCTACTTATTAGGTATAGTTATTACGAAGTAATTTATCTCGTTTTGATAAAAAAAAATCCTCGAATAAAATAATTTATCAATCGTGTATTTTTACTTTGCAATCATATACAGTAACTAACCTATTTTGTTTCATTTTGATTATGTTACGTAAGGCAGGGGTGCTTATGGGTTGAGTTGATCGAGTTGAAGACATTTGAACAACACAACCTAATGCTTGCGGTTTGAAAAATCTTAACTCAACCCAATCCAAACCAAAGTGCAACCCAACCTAACCCCAACCGTACGAGTTGGTTGGGTTAATACTTTGGTGCATTGAAATATTCTTCTAACACTGAATATGTTTCTCTACTCATAATTTCTTTTATATCATCAACCATTTGATACAACTTATCCATATTTCTTACGTATATCACATTCAATTAAATTTTTTCAATTTACATATATATGTTCACAATTATTGAACATATATACGAATGAGTTATATAAATATGTGAATAGATTGAAAATATATGTATATGAAGAGCGCACGTGATAGTGTAATTGTCTAATGTATATATTAATAGAAATTCAACAATCATATTAAATCCAAGAAAAAAGGATATCGGGTTCATCGGGTTGGGTTGTGTTCAAATAATAGTAACTCAATATTAACACAATACGTCAATACCTACAGTTTGAAAATTTTACATCTCGATTAGACATCAGTTCATTTTGAGTTATTTCGCGTTGGGTTGATCAGATTGGTCTGGTTTTTGAGCACCCTTAACGTAAGGTAATATATCAATAATCACTAATACAGTTAATATGTTTGTCATATATTTGTTTCACATTTATTCGTCCCATTACTAAACCGATCATTTTATAGTATTTAACGAAATCATAGAATTATTCAGTCGACAACCATAATAATTTTTTTTGTCTTATTTTAGGTTTTAATTTTTTAATTAATATTATTTTAAAATTATATATATATATATATATATATATAAAATGAGAGTTTGTTTCAAATACAACCCGTTGCATTTGTACAACCAATGCAACTTAATAAATTAAGATATTTATGAAAATGATGAGAGTTCATTTATTATGATTTGAATATTTATGGAAGATGAATATGGTTCATTAATTATGATCAATAGTTTATATTAGGAAACAATCAAAACTTCTATGAAATCACATATAAATAAAATGAAATGGACGATTGAGATTAGATTATATTAATTATACAAATGTCAAGGATTGTATAATAACCAACATAATGGTTTAGGGTTTAATGGCTTTAAGTATTAAACACATAACATAAAAGAAAGGGTTGTTGTATTTAAATAAGGATGGTGTTGTTTTCTTGCATCAAAAGTTTCAAGCTAAAAGTTGTAAGTCACCACTTTGATTCATTATTTGTGCGCCAAGTTTGCATGCTACCATGTGAAATCCAGCTGATTTTCTATAAATCAATAATTTATATAAATTAGATTTTACATCTACTGATGTAAAAAATACAGTGTTTATACAATGTTGTTTTATATGTGGAACATTTTATGATTGTATTTTTCCAACATTAAACATTCTTAAATGTTTCATAACGTTGTATAAACATTACATTTTCGTTTCATTTATGAAATAGCATCAGGGTTGTCTCTTGGCATGTTAAATGTGAGATTTTGAACGAATTTTGGGGCCCAAATTCACTTATGTTTAGGGTCTTTTTATCGACATAAGCCGAAATTATTTATGTTCAAATTATTAATTGTTTGGTTTTAGGTTCGAATTGTTAATCGTTTTAGGTTTAGCCCATTTTTCTTCTTAACATATATTCTTTGTTATCTCATTTATACAATGTAATCAAAAGTTTTGTATATAACATAACCTCTAAAAAGATTGGAATATCCCTGAATAACATACAACAAGGGGCCAAATCATCTGAGAACATTTGAATTTGTGAGATTCGTTGGATTAATTGTTTAAAAGTTCTATTATTTTGTGTAATTTCTTTAATTTAATTTTTTTATTATAATTTAATTTTAGTTTAATAAGAAAGTAATTTATTTATGGTTCAATAATATATTATTTTATAAAAATAATAATTAAGTATTCTGTTAGAGCTCAATAACTATCATAATTATATTTTAGATTTTTTATATTTAAAATGAGATGTTTATCTTCTATCTGATTATTTTTATCTGCAGTTAGTTACATAAATTCAAACATTGAGCTTTAATTAGTTGTACTCACGCACAATCTACTTGTAATCTTGAATTTTAAGCAATATGTATTATAAACAGTACTTTATGTACAAAAAAATGATTTTTCAAAACGTTTATATAAACAGTATTTTATGTATAAAATATGTTTTTACTCACAACCTACTGAGTTGTTGATACATTGAAAAAGAAAGGATAAATTTATTTTCTTCATAAGTGTAAAGATTTATTCGTTCAAAAAAATATTCATGGACCTAAGTAGGGGTGCTCACGGCCCGGGTTAATCGGTTTGGAGCCATTTTAACAACCCAACCCAATGTTGGCAGTTTGAAAATTTTCAACCCAACCCAACCCAACCCCGTTTCGGGTTGATCGGGTTGTGTTTAAACAATGTAAAATCACATAAAAATAAAGGAAACTTTCTTTTGAAATACGACCGACCATTCAAGATAATATGCAAGTTCATCAAATATTTAGATATTACAATAAAAATGTTTAAACCAAATGATAATACATCAATCAACAACAATAGTTTTAGACGTTTCCAACCCCGATGCTTTCGCTTTCTTGACGTTGAGGTTGGTCATATCATGATTGTCATCTACAATTCAAAGCTAAAGTTAAGGTCGGGTTCATCGGGTTGTCGGGTTGGTCGGGTTTTTTTTGGCCTGACCCGATTCCAACCCAATAAGGTCGGGTTGGCTAATTTTTTTATCGATCATGCATTGGGTTACCTCGGGTTGGGTTTTTTTTTTAAATTCGGGTTGGGTTGGTCGGGTTCATCGGGTTTTTGAGCACCCCTAGACCTAAGTGCTCAATATATGAAAGTTCATTGGGTTTTTTCTCAGTTTAAAATTTATTTGTTCGATTTCACAAAGTTTAAAATTTTATTCGTTTAGAAAAATAGTTTAGAAATTTAATCACTCCCGTTTTTCAGCAAACTTTGTGCAATCTATTCGATATTTTTTTTATTAACCTGGATATCCAACCCTATGGCGACCACCTGCTTTGCGGGTAACTCAGAGTCACCGCATTTGAACCTACGTGGCCACAAGGGGATTTTTATTCCTCTTTGAATTTGAACCTGAGACCTCCTGGTACTTTTGACCTGTGGAGTCAAGTTCAAACTAATCACGCACCACGCCACCACCCTTCTGGTTAATTTTCGATGTTTTTTATGGACCACGTAAAATAATAAAGCCAAAATGATAATGCTATAAAAACGACAAAAGTCTCGAAATTTGTCTTTAGATAATACGACACAAATATTTTACCAGCCTGTAATTAACAAAATAATTATTATTATATATGTATTTAAAATGTGGATGATAAAAACGATTATATGTTAATTAATATTTTTTTCCATAATTATTTTGTATAATATTAAAATAAATTAATGATTAAAATGAAAAATAAATAATTGATGTATGAGTGAATAATATATTATATGGTTTTTATGTAAGAGATATGAGAATAAGTTACAATAATTGTAAATAATTACTAATAATAGAATATTAATCATTTGGTTTATGTAGTAGTTGTCAACACCACTCATTTTTCTAATATATTAACTACTCATTATTTTTACTTAAATTATCTAATGACATTTTAATTAAACATTTCATATTTTATAGGGTAAATTGTATGAAAAAATAGCATAGTTTAACGTGATTTCTATTTTAAGTGACGTATTTTCAAAACTTTCGTTTTGGTACTTAAGATGCAAAGTTTTAAACGTTTAAGTACCCGGGTAACTGGTTGAAGCATTAACTGGTTATCATGATGATGTGGTATCTAACTCAGTATTATTTGCTGAAGTATTAAACGGATACCACATCACTCGTCACATCAACATGATAATCTTTTAATGCAATAAACCGATTACTTCGGGTACTTAATATATCTAAAACTTTACATCTTAGGTACCAGAATGGAAGTTTTGAAAGTACATTATCCAAAATAGAAATCAAGTTAAAGTACATTACTTTTTCATTCAATTTGTCATATTTTATATCTGAAATAAGAAATTTTTAACCAGATAAACTAAACTAGACTAACAAAACCCAACTAGTCTAGTTCACTGTTTAGATGATTATCGTATATAGATTGTTAAATCATAAATCAGTTTAAATTTTTCCTTATAGAAGGGAAGTGCCAAGTTAACACCGAAATGAACGTATTTCAAAAATCAAGAAAAAACTGTAACAGAAAATTGTGAATGGTTTCATTAAACACTGATAATCCTTTACCTATCAGTTATAAGACGAATCGTCTGAATGTGACATTATTATTTTAATTATAAAGAAACAAAAAAAATATACAGATATAATTAAGACAAACACCGAGTCGTAAACTAATACCATTTATGTTATATTTTGCATCTTTTAAAAATAAGTTAGCGAAAAATTTACATAGTGAACAATCGGTTTTATAATTTTTTAAATTATTAATAATTAAAATATTTATGTAAAAAATTAATATTTTATCAAATATAAAAGATATATTAATAATATAATCAATATTATAATATCTAAAATGAAAAATCTATTGGAGTTAAATGTAATTTTTTTTATTTTTGAGAAATTTAAAAAAAAAATCTGTTGAAAATAGTCTAAGGGGCTGTTTGGTTAGTTTTCATTAACTCATGTATGGATAAAGATGTGTGTATGAATTAATCTGTTTGTATTAATTGAAATTTTTTTGTTTAAGAGAGTTTTGTCACAGATATAAGGAGAATGTTTTTCAATTATAAGACATACTAGAAGGGTAATCGTGCAAGCATCGAGATTTATCTCGATTTTAATGTTTAGCTTTTAGTTTTTGTTTTTATCGATATAATACGGTTTTATAGGGTTTTGAGAAAGCAATAATGTTTTTATCTTTGAATGAAATATAAATTTGAACATATCATAAAAGTTTGAAAAAAATTATATGGATATTAATATCAAATTAACTATTTAATAGTTCTCGGTTTTTTTTGGTGTAATTTCTTTAATTCAATTTTTCTATTATAATTTAATTTAGATGTAATAATAAAGTAATTTATTTTTGGTTTAATAATATAATTTTTTATCAAAATAATAATTAAGCATTCTGTTAGAACTCAATAGTTATCTTAATTATGTTTTATATTTTTTATATTTAAAATTAGATGTTTATCTTGTATTTTATTATATTTATCTGCAGTTAGTTAAACGAATTTAAAAATAGAGCTTTAATAAGTTATATTTACGCAAAATTTACTTATGATTTTGAATTTTAAGTAATATGCATCATTAAGCAATACTTCATGTATAAAAAATAGCTTTTAAGAGTTATTGTCAAACGTTTTATAATATAGTATAGATATTTGGAAGGAAAAAAAAAACTTGATTTTCTACATAAAACTCTCAAATAAAAGTTTATTGAATAAGTTACTTTCTATATTATGAAGTCACAATCAAATAATTATGTATAATTAACAAAATAACTTGTTATTTTCATTAAACCCATTAAACTGCTAATAAACTCTAAGGAGGTGTTTGAGATTTGTTTATTTGAAACAACTTATACTTTTCTATAAAAGCACTTATCAACTTATTATAAGTCAGAAAAGTTTGACTTCTTCAAAAACTCTTTATTACCTGTTTGACACCGATATAAATTGTTTATCCAAACATTCAAAAATGCTTATTACCGGTGTCACACCAGAATAAGTTAATAAATTATTTTTATAAGCAATCTCAAACACCCCTTAAATCTATTTTACAAAAATGTTGAATAAAATTGGGTGGTCAATTAAAGACAACACTTTACTTTAAATGTGGTTTGTGTCCTAAATTTCGTGGAAAATATCAAACTTGAAACTAAAGTTTTATGTAACGTCAATTTTGACTTATTTTAGTCAAATCTCAACAAAGTCAACGCTACTTTTTGCCTTTTTAAGACTTTGACCATTCATCATTTAATCATGTATCTTGCTTGTAAAAATTTGACAATTTTTTAAAAACAATTTGGTAAGTATCGTGTTTCTGTAAAAAGTAATCTGATCCAATTTTTAACTGATCGATTTAATTAAAGCTGATCGACCGTAATCAATATCCAATTGTAATTGGATCGGATCTAAAATTTTAATATCCAGATTAGATCGGTCAGTTATTGTATGGTTAATTCAAAATCCAATAAAACCGACCAATCCAATCAAAATATTGGACTGATCAAATGAATAACCAATAGTAATATCCAAGTGATGGAACCAATCCGATCCAATAATCCATTGGATCAGATGTCCAATGTTAATTGGATTTGATCGGATAAGAAAATCCAACATCCATTGGATGATTGGTCCATACTGGATATCCCTAAATCCATTGGATTTTAACCGATGAAGAATACTGATTATTAATGTAAATATGTTAAAGTTAAATGCAACTTAGGCACAATTTCTTAAAACTCCATAAATTAACTTTGTTAAAAAAAAATCTAAATCATCTTTAATTACTTTTTTAATCAAATAAATTAAATAAAAACAGAGTATTTTGTTCTTTAAACCAGTTATCATGCTGATGTGGAGAGTAATGTGTTATTCAACTCAGTATTATTTGCCGACGTGGTTAGTGTCATCGATTTTTTTTTTTTAATCTAAAATTAGTCTTCAATCGAATACCCGAGCACTTAAATGTTTAAAACTTGACATGTTAGATAGTAAAATGGAAGTTTTAAAAGTACTTCACTTAAAATAGAAATCAAGTGTTATTTTTTTATTCAAATAATAATGGCTTTAAATAAACTAAGAAATAAAGATAAAACAAGTTGGGGATGTAGCTCATATGGTAGAGCGCTCGCTTCGCATGCGAGAGGCACGGGGTTCGATTCCCCGCATCTCCATTTTCTTTTCTTTTTTCAAATTTAATTTTTAAGTAAACAGATTTGATCCTTGTGGTTTCTCTAAAATAACACTATTCGTCCTTCCAGTTTCAAAATTACAAAATGATTATCGTTGTTTGCAAAAACATCCCGATTTGGTTCTTCTCTTTTAAGATTTCGTCATTTTATCGATTTTTTTTTTGTCTTTTACATAATCAAAACTGATGTTATGATTTTGGCCCTTGTGGTTTTTTACTTGGTAAAAGACAAAAATGATGATAATGCTTATCATTTAACGAAAATTTTTAACAACCGTAAGAGGAAGAGACGAAATCCGGATTAGGGGATTGCTATGGGTGTTTGGCAGTTGCTGTATGGTTTGTGCAGAATCATTAAGTGGTCGAAATGATTAAGAGGCTCTCGTGATATAGTGTAAAATAAAATATAATTGTGTGATAATTGTTTACAATGAAATTATGACTCTTAATGGTTAAGGGAGGCCCATGATACAAAACCATTCAGAGAGTCACCAAACAAAATTCACCTCTTAACGATTCAGAGATTACCACTTAATAGAACTATTAAGAGGTAAACAAACAACCCCTAGTAATTCTCTAAGGATAAGGTAAGATGCTCTGACCGAATAAGTAAATAGTTGCTTACAAACCCTTTTACCAGATAAAACTCTTGGTTCTTCTCATTCTCATATATCCAGTAAATGTTTGATAAACAGCTCTTAAATCTCTCCATTCTTATCAGGTTAGCATCTTAGGCGCCATTTACATAAGCAATTACCCGGTAAGCAGTTAGCAGTATAAGTCTCTCCATTCTTATCAGGTTAGCATCTTAGGTGCCATTTGCGTAAACAATTACCCGGTAAGCAGTAAAAATCGATACTTTTACATACGAGTAAGATTCTAATCCATTAAAATGACATTGTACACAACAATTTATCCGTCAAGTGTAGACTTTTGCACAAAATCATCATCATATACTCTAAAAAAAAGCATGGTCTAAAATTTTGAATTGATTAAAGCAAACAGAAAGAACGAAAAAAAAAGAACAGGAACCCCGTATTACATATTTTCCGAGAAATGGCGATTTTTAACATCAATTGTTGTTATTATATGATCTGCTCCATGGAGGTCTTGGCCTCTGTTGTTGCCCCCCACCTCCATTTCTTCTCATGTTATTATTCTGCTGCTGAGCTTTCATCCTCTGTTCCTTCATGTTTGCAAATAACGAATCCAACGTCTGAGCCCTCTGCTTCGATACCACCTTCACTTGCTGTTGCTGCTGCTGCTGCATGAATTAGAAGTTTTGGCAAAATGAAAAAGGGGTCAAGGGTGGTGGTGACAAGTGTGCGTATAAGTATTTGTTGTATATAAATTTATATACCGTAGACTATTGTTATGATATCAAATTCAATCTCAAGTTAAACGATATTATAATGATGTAGATCGCATCAATACTGAGGGCCTGTTTGTTAGCAGCTTAATATGGACTCGCAACTTATTCCCTCAGATATAAACGGCTGCTTCGTAATGATATAGGATGTGGCTTAATCTGTAAGCTTCTAGGAGGGAGCTTTATGCAGAAAGCCAAGTTTTTTCCAAGCCTAACTCTCTCAATAAAAAAACATGCTCCTTCCATCTATAAAAAAACCTCGCAAATTCATTCAGGACTTGATGAAAAAAACCAACCTGAGTAACACAAAAAACCAAACAACCAACAATCCAGAGCCAGGCCTGCTTGACCACTGTACATTGTTAACATCGAGGCCAGTCCACTCAAGTGATTATAGTGATAAATCCCGTTAACAAAAAAGGGGTCCGAGTACTAATGGGATTAATGGAACATTCAATTGAATATGAACATGAAATCCATAAGTTGTTAGATACTTGGATGAATACCCAGCATGCGTATTAGATATATTACCATATTTCACTTTATGTTGTATAAAAAAATTATGGTGCATCCAGATATTGCTAAAAACACAGTAATTGTTAATCAAGCAGGTTTGTCCATCGTAAATACTAAATAGAGACATTTGACCTTTAAAAGTATTACCTTAACAGCAAAGCCTCCATTTGCAGCCCTATTTTGAACCGGTCGAGCCACAGGCCTGCACAACAAATTAACGATTATTGGGGAAGCCAACAGAGAACAAGTTACGAAAGCACCAACAAGATGGGGGGAAGTTGCAGCTACCATGAAACCAGTGGTTGTACAAACCATGAAATAAACCAGCAAAGCACTTACCATTACTCAATTTAATGAAACTGTTAATTGACAGATACTCAAAACAAACCAAATCAGGATAAGTGGGAAAGAAGATCTTCAGCACAGCAAATTCCCAACAATGCATGGCTTTCTTTGTGATTGGACCCTCAAACCGACAACAGATCAGAGACATGCCACCCCTAAATACTAAAAACCAACCTCCAATGAAGGACAACCATGCAACTTCGATGATCACGGAGTCATTGCACTCGAAAGATCTCCTAAACAGGCTTCAAAATTTGCGTAGCATGACCAGCTAAAACTTCTAAACAATACACAGTCTGGTAACTGTGAAGCTCTCCAATCATGAGTTGACTCAAGTAAATTATTGTCAAATAACACTAGCACCACATTGATGAGGAAATCTTCCCAAATGATGATGTAAACACATGTGAAATATAGCTATTAAGCTCTCTCTAACCTTCACAAGATTGCTGTGATATGACCATGATCTTCATCTTGAACATAACAGACGTATGTTTACAATAAAAGCAAATGCTTAGAAACAGCCATGATGATTCATCTCAGTTTTAGAAACCATATCAAGGCGCTTAAGATATTTCCGGGAGTATTACATTGTCAATGACGAGAATAATCGAGGACTACTAGGAGGAAGGCTGAATCACATACAAAAAGGGAGAAGAGATAGTGTCACACAGCCCTCAATGCTATTTTATTTAGCCATACTGTATACACACACTACCTCATACCAGATACTTGAATGGCATGGACACACATTCTACAAGCCAAATGTCTTGTCAAGCAGATAGATGCTTCAAAAGAACTCCTCCAACAATATGATAATACTAAGCCAAGTAAATTCAGATTCCAAAAATTGGCCCAGAATCACACATAAGGTTTAAGAGAAGAGCTTGGGGAGCCATTAATCATAAACCTGCTGCTGATTTTTCCAAAAAAACACCATTTTTCCCACTCATCAGCAGTTTAAGTCCGTTCTGTTATTTTTAGATCCACCCAATCCAAAGAGTTGAATCCACGATGCAAGTTACCCAAATGAAGACCATGTGCACTGTGCAAATTAATTCCCCAACAGCATGCCAAATATTCATACTTAAGTACACATGAGTCCTTTCCAAGCACCAGGACTCGAGGGTTTTAATCAATAAGGAACTTCCCTTAAGCCCAAATTAGACAAGACAAGTTTTTTTTTGAACAGATGATGCTGTCATGCATATAACCCATAAGCACATGGCTAAGACATTGGCTAGGTAGAAGAACCACAGTTTACCTGCAGAAATTCACAGCACACAAATAAATTAGTTTATCAAATGATGCAATACATAAATCACACAACTAGAAGAGTTCGACACCACCAGAAACCCCTCCCTCCCCCCCAATACACACAAAAGTATGTTCACATGAACATTCACCACATGTCCAGCTGTTGCTGAACGGGTTTTGGATATAATTCCGGTTTTAAAGGAAGGTAATCCAAAAAGAAAGAGATGTTGCTTTAATACTTTTAATGAAATAATTTTTTGGTCGGAATATGAATCAAACCAATTAATGATCGCAAAAGCAAACATAACACAAAACTTGCCTTGGTCTATATGAAGTCATTGCCTGGTTCCTATTGAAGTTCCTGTTGCGGATAGGAGCAACTGCAGCCTTTCTAGCAGCCTCAGCAGCCAAAGGAAATTGGTTTCCCTGAAAGCTAGATCTCCGCTGAGCAAGAACACCCTAATATCACAAAGACTAGAGTCAAACTTGATATAAAAACTAAAAATGTGTAAATACCATTGACGTCTCATCTCTGACAAAATATACTATTCTATGACATGACCCACACCTGTCTAAGGGAGGATCTTGAGTCCATAAAGCGTTTCAACTTCATGGGTTTATCCTGAGCAACATTGTTCGAAAATTTCTGATTTTTATTCTGCATGATATCAAATGCCAACCAAATTAGGATCAGGAAACAACAAATATAGGACAGTGTAAGCACATCAAAGAGAGAGTCTCTTACTGGAACTCTTTGCTTCTTGGCTCTGTTAGTCCCAGTTCCAGTCTTGGACATTTTGATAATATCATCTGGCAATAAAGAGATGCATAGATCTTAGCTCAATAAAATAACCTGCCAAGGAAAATTTTAAAACCAATTGAACCAAAATTGCATGTTGTTTATACCTAATGCCATGTCCATTTTCTTCTCTGTCATTGCAATTGCAGCAGCTGTAAGTGGTTTTGCAGCCATCTGGGGACCAAACCATATAAATAAACTAAGATCCAAACATCATAATATATGTACATGTATATGCTTCGCATGACACAAAAATAAAATAAAGAATCAAATGTAATTTAAAAATATTCTTAATCAATATTGAGAACCACGTGATTTTAACCTCTGCTTTACAATAGCTACACAGAGGGCTATTGACCAATAAAAAACTATCGGCCATATTACAAGTCTCAAGCGGTTGAATCAATAGCTGCTATCTAGTTATCACAAAAGTTAGTTCTACATTCTACCCTTGGCACTTCTTACAAAGAAGATACATTCTGACAAAAATACTTCAGTCGGATTTTTTGGGGTTGTGGACGTCAATGAAGTGAACACACTTTTTTCTTGTCAAAACTGGTACTCTTTTTTAGAGAAGGCAGCTTGGGAAGAAAAGTTTGAACCAAGACATAATGACCCAAAGTAGCATCTTTGACTAATAACCTCCAAAAACTTAAACGGCATAAAAGTTGGTCTGCTACTACAGGATTTGTAATTCTTAACATCCTCCTTGGTCCTGCACAGTCAAAATCCTCAAGAACGCTCTAAGACCATCCCCCAAAGCCAAAAGTAGCAATATGGCCTAATAACCTCCCAATCAACTTATATCATGATAGGACAGGATATCACAATTGCCTATAGGTGGACACAAAATCAACCAAGCTAAATGCTTGACGGCATACTACTAGTACTTCTCCAAACGAAATAACCATTCACGGCCAAAATTTAAAACTATTTACCTATCTGCTGTACTATTAATGTGACGACTTCTAGCGTGGTTATTAAATTTTCTTCTAAAAAACTTTTACAATTCATATCCACCGGTGAAGTAGGAAACCAAAGCGTCCACCCTCAATAAACCATCTGCTTTCTTGGAAGGAGCCAGAGCACAAGAATATATACCATCCAGCCAATCAAAATTAAAACCCTAATTTCCACGAACAAAATTAAAACCCTAATTTCCATCAATCTACCGACAAAATTTCTTTCTCAATAAAGCAAAAAGGATTTAGTCTGGAGAAAACGAAATTCACCAAAAAATGGTTACAAAAAATGCCAACCACATCGAATAAATCGCACCGAGCGATAGGAAAAACACAGATTATCCATAGAAGAACATCAAAAACAGATGCTAATTAGAAACACAAATAGTAAACGACTGGTTACCTAATTCGATGGAGGAACTTGAGGGTACCGGATGTGATTGAAGATTAAGATTCCGAGGAGTTTGAAAACGTTGAGGCGACGGATCAAAGATTTTTAGGGTTTTTCAGACGAAGCCCTAAAGCGGAAGGGATGATATGATGAAAGTGAACCGCGTATAATAATTTGCTGAAAGATTGACGGACGTGAAATTTAATCGACTTCCAAATTAAATCCGAATTAATTTACTTTCAAGTCCGGCACGTGACAAGATAAGTTTGGACTTTGGATCACCTGTTTACCGCAACCACAATTTAAAAATTAGGAAACACTTTAAATTTTTTTAGGTGTTGGTTGGCGGTTGTTGAATGATTTGATTCAGAATGATTAAGTGATCAGAATAATTAAGAGGTTTTTATGATATAGTGTAAAATAATATATAATTGTTTGGTAATTGTATACAATAAAATTAGGGCTCTTAATGGTTAAGAGTAGGGCTATAAACGAACCAAACGTTCAGCGAACCGTTCGGCGGGAAGTTCGTTTATTTAATAAATGAACGAACATTAACAATTTTTTTGTTCGTTTAGTTAAACGAACGAACATAAACAAGAGTCTCGTTCGTTCATTTATGTTCGTGAACATTTGTTCATTTACCGTTCGTTTATTTCGTCGTTTATGTTCGTTTATATATTAAAATTAATATATAATCTTTTATTTATTTACTTTGAATTCAAATAATATTTATTTATGTTCGTTTAACCCGTTTGTTTATGTTCGTTTATCTTCGTTCGTTTACGTTCGTTTACATGTTAACGAACGAACATAAACGAACACGAACACACCTGATTTCTAAACGAACAAACACGAACACAAATATTTTCGTTCGTTTACTATTCGTGTTCGTTCATTTGTTCGGTTAAGTTAAACGAACAAACATGAACAAGCCTCCGTTCGTGTTCGTTCGGTTCGTTTACAGCCTAGTTATCGTTGATCCATGATACAAAATCATTAAGCGAGTTTTATAACCATTAAGAGACATACTTTTTTTTTGCCAAACAATATTCACCTCTTAACGATTCAAATGTTGCCTCTTAATTGAACTGTTAAGAGGTAAACAAATAACCCCTATATATGGATTAATTTCTTAAATTGTGACTGTATGAAATCAGTCCTGCTAAACTGAGTGCTTCATAATTGGTACATATATCTGAAATTGAACCTTAAACAGATGGAATATTCCACCACGTTACACAAGATCTCAACCTTATGTCATAAGTTCTAAGTGATCGACGCTACTTAAAGCACTTATGATTTATGAGAATTTTATCTGGTTCTTATTTTATATGTAGGGTCATGTGAGAATGATAGTTACAATGAGAAAATAAGAAGATATATCTACCATTTAATCAATTCTAATTGAAGATCAACCTTAATGAGATACATCATATCAATTCCCATGAGAAGCGCAATTCATAGTGGAGATGAGATTAAAAGTAATCAAATATTCAGATCTTTTCTTACGTTTCTCATCTCAACTCATATTCTCACGCGATTATTCGTCTTACACGTAACCTCGAAAATTATAACTGCTTCTGTTATTGTCCACTGTTGTTAAACTATTGTTTTGTCTGTTGTTATTCATTGCTTTTGTAATGCAGATAAACATCCTTATATGAACTTACATTTATATATCTTGTTTATCAAAACAATTTGATAATCAAATACGCTATTATGTGAACGAACTTACTGAAGCAAACAAACAGATAAAAACTCGTTGTCGGTTATTGATGTTTGAGTTTATACAGTTTTATCTTCTGTATAACCATTCATGACAGTCATCGATGGTTCCAATCTCCACTATAAAATGTAACAACATCGTCAGTGTAAATAAGTTGACACGAAAATCCATGGTTACTCAAAAGAAACATCAATCTCAGTGTCTTATATATTTCTTATTATTATTTGTTTATTTATTTTCTGCATAAATATATACCATATAAATAAATTTAACATTAACGACTGAAGGTGAGTTATGGGCCGTTTACCTAAACACTTACTGCATAAGATTTTTAGTCTATCAAAACAACATCGTATGTAACAACTTACCCAGTAAAGGCTAACCATGGTAAAAGTTGTCGCCACCACTTACCGGGTAAGACTTTTCGGTCCTTGCCTTCGCTTTTATCGGGTAAAATTCTTGGTTTTTACCATATTCATCCGACAAGATAATGTGACTTAGTAAACGCTTAACCGAGTAAGTACTAAATAACCCCTTAATCTATCTTCCATTATGCAATTATAAATAAAAGTAAGATGATTTTTCCTTTCTCCAGAAAAACATGAATATTTAAATATTAAATTAGATTTCATTGTTGTTTCAATGTCTTTATTTAGAATAACAACCAATGAAAAGATTTGTTTTTGCATGATCAAATTAAATTTATAATTAAATCATTTTGATTTATGCTAAATTAAATCAATTACTTGTTATTTATTTTAAATAATTATTTATTGTTTTTAATTATTTTATTGTTGAACCAAAAATAAATTACTTTACTAAATTGTAATGATCATTATGTATTTTAGATCTTTATAAATTAAATAACAAGTAATTAATTTAATTTACTTGTTATTTATCTTAAATTACTTCACTAAAACGTAAAGATCATTATTTATTTTAGATCTTTATTAAACTTTATTGTTAAATCAAAAATAAATTTATTCACTAAATCGTAACAACATTATCTTTCTTAAAATCACATAAATCGTATTATATCAACATAAACAAAAAATAAAACAAAACATTAAAATGAAAATATATCTCGCTGCATTATACGAGTACCCTTCTACTAGCATAATAAATTACACTTTCATGTTTGGATTATATTTTTCCAAAAGTTACCAAAATAGCATCAAAATGTTGGGAATGTGAATTTGGCCCAAACCATAGACAAATGTCTCAATACATTTTAGAATATTCGATGTATCTTTTATATTCGTTGAAATAAAAAATCTCTGAAATTTCATTTTAGGATAGTTGTTTTTCAACATAAGATACAAACATACAATAAAATTACAAATAGTATTAATGGGGAAATAAAGTTAAGGTAAGAAGTGTAACAAGAGATCTAGACTCTTGATCATTTTTAATCTCAAACCAACCTATGAATCATGATTGATACGTTGCATCTCATTCTAATGTGCATCTAAAGGTGGACGTCTCACCTTAACTCTCATTCTCACAAAAATTCAACCTTGTATTAATTATAATGTTTACTTGAATTATAAGTTTATAGAAAATGAACTGTCACATGAACATTTTCTATTACAATCTCTAATAACTTTTAATCTAACACAAAACAATAAGAAGCACTGGAGTTAAATTGAAATTGAAACTTCTTTTCCTTATTAAATTGATACGATACACGAAAAGATAATAACAGTAATAAAGTTGAAACATCATATCTCATATCTAGTGACATGTTAAAATTGAGAATCAAAATTTAAAATCTTCAAAAATAATTATATTTAAGTCTGACAAATTTTTCATTTTCGAGAATTTATGTTCTCCCTCACGGTAACATTCAAATTTGGAGAATTTTCCGCTTTTCATTGTTGCTGATCATTTTTATAAAGTTTTTCAAATTCAGAGAATTTTATGGTAATCATTTTTGAAGCGTTCTTTGAATTTGGAGGAATTTTCCATACTCCCTCCAAATAACCAACGTAAGAGGGTGCTTGAGATTGTTTATTTGAAACAACTTATGTTTTTCTACAAAAGTCTTTATCAACTTATTATAAATTAGAATGGTTTAACTTCTTCAAAAACTCCTTATTACCGGTTTGACACCGGTATAAGCTGTTTATCCAAATACTAAAAAATGCCTATTACCTATACCACACCGAAATAAATCAATAAATTGTTTTTATAAGCAATTTTAAACACCCCCGAGGTTCAAATACGGACAGTAACAATGACAATTGAGCAATACATAGGCACTTTAAAAAAAATAGATGCTTTTATAATTTTGAAAAGACAAGGATTTTTTTTTATTTATGGATGATTTGCTTTTAAAAATTAAATAAATAAATTCCCATAAAGAGGTAGGTGGTGTAGAATTGAAGTGTTTATTTGAGTTGTCCATTGTGTGGATCAGTTGACTCCATAGACCCATTTTTCTTGGTTGCTGGTGTAGTTACTTAACTCCTCTGGTTTGAACCAAAGGCTGATTTCATCCTTGGCGGTTTCTGGACCATCGCTTCCATGGATGATGTTCCTGCAAAACCAAACCTCAAAAACTCATAAACAAACCCGTGACTAAACTATAATAAAGATTTAACCACATAAAAAATATTAGGTAATCTTATTTATACCTTTTATTGTCATATCATTGTTGTATTTATATTTGAAATAAAAACGTGTTCTAGAGAAAGTTCAAATTTATGTGTTCTTTCTTAACGTAAAAAACACATACACGAGTCTATCCACTTGAATTAAACCAACAATTGCCCAACTCAACAAAATGGTATTTTCAATTGGCCAGTATAAATGGGTTTGTCCGTCATTTTGCTTCAAATGGCTGACATTTTTGTGTTCGGCATTTTCTGTGAGGGAGGGTTTTTTGTGTTCTAGTTTTAGTGTGTATTTATAGTCCACATTTTAATTTTTTTAGTGGGGTGGGTTGGAGATGGTCTAAATGGAGGTCTTGTTTGTTCTAACCCACTACTAAAACACAAAAATGAAGGTTATGTTTGTTTCAACTGACAATTAAAACACAATTTTCTTGTGTGTAAATTGAAAAAAGCTTCTATATTTGGAGTTCTGGTAGTCATGGGGGTCTAAAAAGATGTGTAGTGGATTTTAGTGTGTTGTGTTATAGTGTGTGATTGTAAGAGTTATGTGTTTTAGTGACGATAGGCCTACGTATTATTGTTTCAGTGACGATAGGCCTAGGTATTATTGTTTCAGTGAAGATAGGCCCACGTATTATTGTTTAACCAACGTGAGACTCCTATGACTCGTAAGTCATAATACAATACCATACGACTCCTATGTGATACTGCAGGTCTACAATGATTGGTCAAATGCATATGAATCATAAAACATGAAATTTTTAAATAATGCTATGTATTTAATGTTAAAAATCTAACGTACCTTCCAACAACAATGGCCAAATCTCCTCTGATGGTTCCAGGTTCTGATTTCGATGGATCTGTGGCTCCAATAAGTTTACGGCCATATCTAATTACACCTTCTCCTTCCCAAACCTGCTTAAGTGAACCATAATTAATGGTGTAATTAAGGTTGCTTGTTAACTTGTTCACAAGGTAGTGCATGCATGGATGGTAAAACAGTGAGGAAATTAAGATACCATCGCAAGAACAGGGCCAGAGCTGAGGAAGTTGCACAAGCCATTGAAAAATGGCCTTTCCTTGAGATCATGATAATGCTTCTGGGCAAAGGACTTTGAAGGTACCACAAGTTTAATAGCTACAAGTTTGAACCCTTTACATTCAAACCGGGCTATAATCTCCGAAATCTAGAAGTTAAACAAGAAAGCTCAAATCTCAATAATACGGTGCAAGTTTGATATACACCTATATATTTATAGGGTCAGGTTAAGGGGAAACCGTAAAAAGATGAAAAACTGAAGAACATTCTAATAACCGTTCATCTATGCCATATGCACATATGCATACAAGTAATTGAAGATGTTTCCTGGTTTCTATGTACGTTTGCATGTGTATGCACACGTGCATACCAGACAAATTACTTGTAATTACATGTGCACACCGTATAGATGAATGCTTTTTAGGATATTCCTTATTTTTTTCTTTTTTTGGTGGTTTTCCCTGAACCTCATTATATATATGGTGATAATTTCAAATAAGAAAGCTAAATATGGTGAAAAGGTATAGGAAAACTTTTATTTGAAGATCAATAAGTAACCCATGTCCATGTGGATGATATATAACATCAGTTCCCAAATCTTCAGATATATGTTATTTAGGATTTTTCAATATATTCATGTATGAAAACTTCTTTTGCTATTATCACGATATTTAACATTCTTATTTAAACCGGCCTCTATATATATATCGAGGAAATATGAGGGTTAAAAAAGTTACCAGTCCTCTTTGCACACCATCAGGTTTGATAGCAATGAACGTGCGCTCCATCTGTGTGCACAGGCAAGAGAAGTAATCACTTTTTCTTTGAAGATAAGTTATAGCAAAAGTGAGATAGAAGGATAGTATTGTCATGCTAACAATCACGGGCGGATCTAGTTAAGAACATACGATGACACGTGGCCCACCACTTCATAATTCCGTCTTAATGGATCAAGAATATACGATGGCACATGTTGCCACCACTTACAAACTTTTCTAGGTCAGTCTCTGTCTTAGTAACAAAAAGAAATTGACAATTGATCGAATACCTGTATTGCATTTGCTTCTTGGTCCTGAAGCATATATGCTGTAATGAATTACATACAAAAAAAGAGCATCAATTGTCAACAATCCACAAGGAAGACAATGAACTCAAAAAAAATCATAGAATCCAAAAGTTCAAACCTGCAGCAGGTAGCGCAAGAGCTCCAGCAATCCATGTGTTGCCGGTGTTATCTCTCTTGATGGAAGCTAGAGCCGGCAGCGTTCCTTTGAAGGAAACTGTTGCTGCAGAAGCTACTGTTCGTCCTACAAGTAAAAGAAGAACAAACAAAGTAAATTTCACATCGTATCTAGAATTTGAACACAAACAGATTTCTCTACATAACGTATCCACACTCATCGATCCAACAGATAAACATACTGATCATGAACATATCAAAATCTATTTAACTACACGCATACACAAGCTAAATATTATCAATATTCACAATCTGGTACTCAGATACTGTCAATTCCTACAGCTATTCATTAAGACAGATTTCAGTCATCTACAGCAATTCATCTTCGGCTTACGATAATTCAATCAAAATCATCGTAATACCAGATCCACAATCGATAATGTACAATATACAACACATATAAATCAAAATCTTCAACTTCAACCCCAAAGCGGCAATGAGTTCTAAGCTATCTTCATCTTACGCTTACGGTAATCCAAGAACAAGTAACCAAATCATCGTTAAAAATTGCGATTCACCAGATCCACGCACAATAACATACAATGTACAACATACAACACTGTCTACACACATAAATCACAATATATATCCAATTCAAACTTCAATAACACAACAGAATTTGAATCGAAAAATGTACAAAATTAAAACTCACCGGAAACCACATGATGCTTGTGCTTGGAGGTAGAAGAGAGAAGAGACGTAGCAGCTCGTGAAGCAGATCTGTAGATTTTAGAACTCATCTCCTTCTCGATCGATCAATGAATCAGAACAGAATGAACAAATCAAACTTATAAATTCGAAATGAAAATGGAATCGAGAAGCTCTCTTTTAGAGGGGGGTTTTTTATAGAGCGAAATGGAGTATAGAGAGGGTCAGTTGGTTTGGTTTAGTTATGGAGGAAAGGATTTTATGGCAGCAATTTGGAAAATTTTAAAAAGACCCCCCTGAGGTTTGCATCAACTTGCAATTATATCCATCAACTCTTAAAATAGTTACATTTGGAGGTGGGATTTACTTTTTGTTATCTTAGGCAAGAAATCTCAATATTTTAGAAATAATTTCTAATTTTTGATTATTTTCCTCACTGTCAAAATTGTTAATGTTTTACAAGACTCTATGTATAACTAAGATATCGTTTGGTACGCATACATGATTAGGCCTGACAAGAGAATATGACAAAACTGGATATGACAAGTTGTATGTCAGGTGTTTGACATGAGTAGAACTAGAAAACGAATGAGTTGGACAATTTGCCTCTAAATGTTTATTGATTTTATATGGTAGCTACCAGTGGAAGAGGAAGTAGTATCAGTTGGACAAGTTGCTTCTAAATGTTGTTTATTGATTTTATCTGATAACTGCCAGTGGAAGAGGAAGTAGTGATTATGGCAGGGCAGAGGTGATGGTGATTGTGGAAAAGGTTACAGCAATTTCTAATTGTTTGAGCAAGTCCAATCTGACAATATAAGCCATGAAGTGGTAACAATAATCAAAATATAGTAAAATAAACCAAATTATAAGTTACAGTGCATACAGTTTTATTGATCAATTAAATATTTGAAATATCAGATGATTTTCACAAGATAGATTTGCTGTAAACTTGGTGTTATGTTAAGGTTATGATGGAGAGATGCTTCTTAATGTGTAGTGAGAAAACTTTGGTACAAAGAAAGTATTTGATGGTTCGAGAATTGAAGAATTGCTATTGTTCATGCTATGAAAATCAAGGGTTTAATATGTAAAGATGTAAACCGCATGGGTTTTTATGTAAATTTTCTGATCATTTTTTTTGGAAGGTCAAAACACAATCTTTGACTACTATTTTTAGAATGTCTGTGATTGTTGGTGACTTGGTGGTCGGAAACGCTTACATTTACCGTTAGATCCGAACTAGTGGGCCATCCCGGAATAAGGATGAATGCATATCCACCGTCCGATCAGATCCATGTACATTACATGTACCGTCAGATCTGTTCTCTCTAACTAACGCCTTATGACGTCGTATTCGGATTCATTCGACTGTTAAAAAAAACACAACTCAACCGGTTCAATGTCTAATCAAGTTGTAAAATTTTTAAATGGTAAGTATTGAGTTAAAATTTGGTTCCCATCATTTTTTTATTAATCTAGATATCCAATCCGTTATGCGAACCAAGTAATCTCAGGACGACCACCCGCTTTACGAGGTAGTCCAGAGTCACCGCATTTGAACTTTCGTGGTCACAATAGGATTTTTTATTTCTCCTTGGATTCAAACCTGGGATCTCCAGACACTTTTGACATTTTGAGCCCAAGATTAAACCAATCGGACACCACCCGTGTGATTGGTTATAATTATTTGAACTCAACCAACTTAATGAACCCGATATCATTTTATTTTTTTGGATTGAATATGATTATTAAGTCCCTATTAATATTACATTAAGTAATTAGATCATCACATACTCTCTTTATATACATATATTTTCAATCTCTTCATCATCTGTATACAACTCCTTTGTATGTATGTTTAGTAAATATGAACATATATATGTAAATTGAGAAAAGTAGTTGAATGTTACATATTTCAGATTTAACGAGTATGGATAAACTATATCAAATAATTGATAATGAAAAATGAATTATGATTAGAGAAAACAACGTATTTAAGATTAGAATAATATTTTGATGTACTAAAATATCAATCCAACTAACCCAACGAACCCGCACGGTATAAGTTGGGTACTTGGGTTGGATTGAGATTTTTCAAACTGTAAACACTGAGTTGAGTTATTTAAATGCTTTCAATCCGATATCAATAACTAAAATAAAACCCCTTCATGCCTAACTTTGGGAATGTTTGGATGTGATCCAAAAATTGTAAATTGTAACTTAAAATTGAGTTTTATAGTTTGGTAAAAAAAAAAAGTTTTGGGTTTTAAATGGTTGTTTGGTAGTTGCTGAATGGTTTGGTGTAGAATAATTAAGTGATCAAAATGATTAAGAGGCTCTCATGCTATAGTGTAAAATGAAATATAATTGTTTGGTAATTGTTTACAATGAAATTAGGGTGTTGAATGGTTAAGGGAGGTCCAAGATGCAAAATCATTTAGATAATTTTAGAACCATTAAGAGATGGACTTTTTTTTTGCCAAACAAGATTTATCTCTTAACGATTTTAAAGCTGCCTCTTATAGTCTTTAATATTTAACTACAGTTTTGATTTTTCATGGTTAAAAAGGAGTAGTTAAAAGAGACTGTTCACGTTTGTTATATGATTCAATTATAATGATCATTTCAATTAGAGTCGACCAACTATAATTAGATATAGAATGAGAATCAGATTGGATTGGATTGGATTCAAAATTTTAATATCCAAATTTGATTGGTTGATTCATAGATAACAATTCAAAATCCAACAATACCAAACCGATCGAATCCGGTTACCATCGAATAATCATCTAATTATCATCAGATTAATAATTAACACACACACAGACGCTCAATATTATTTTTTTTGATTAACCTGGATATCCAACCCACTATGCGAGTCGACTAATCCCAGGACGACCACCTGCTTTGCAGATAGCTCGGAGTCACCACATTTGAACCTCCGTGGCCACAAGAGGATTTTTATTCCTCCTTGGATTTGAACCTAGGACCTCCTGGTACTTTTGACATTTGGGGTCAAGCTCAAACCAATCAGGCACCACCCTTGTGGTTCAGACGCTCAATATTTGCAAACCCAATAAATTATACAAACTAACAAACCATTTTTTATGTGTTGTTTCATACGTGACACCATGTTAACCGGAAAGCCTGGATCACCAATAGTTTATTACTTCTAGAAACAAAAATGATGGAATTTACAACATGAAGTTATTGAATTACTAAAAGGGTAGGGTGCATTATATATGTACAAATTAATAGACATTGGTGACAATGGCTTCATCAACCAATCTAAAATCAATCTTATACCATTACATTTGGCACAAATTGTTGTTACATATCTCGGGTGAATTATCGATCGTGCTTGAATCTGGTCCCGTTTTACACTCCTCTTGCAATGTCATCAACCAAGCATCCACCTGAAACAAAGTAAACGATCTTGAGGACCGGCTCTGAAACAAACCAAACTGGCCTAGTATACCCCCGAAGAGTACATCAGTTGTTTTATTGAAGACCCTGACTTGTACAAGAGGGGTAGCGTTTGATATGCAGACCGGACAGGACCAGACGGACAAAAGAATCTGACAGAACTTGACATTTGACAAGTTGTCTGTACACAACTATCCCCTACAAAATTGGGCTGGACAAATTGCTCCTAAATGCTATTTAATAATTTTATATGGTGGTTACCATATATGGTTTACCAAATTAATAAGCCGTGCGTCCCATTCAACTCATTAAGCCGCTTCCGGACAGCCCTTAGTTTAATCTATAGTTGTGATCTTACCATTATGAGGACTTCTAACTTCCAAGGGGTCGTTTACCAAATGCTTACCCGGGTAACTGGGTAGTTGTTTACCAGCAAAATTCAACACTATCACTTACTTACCGGATAAGATGTTAGTCCACCAAAACGGTATCGTATGCAACAATTTACGCGGTAAGCGCTACACGTGTTAAGTGTCGTCGCCCTTACTTATTGGGTAAGACTTTCGGTCCTTCATTCGCTCTTACCGGGTAAGATTATTGGTCCTTCCCATATTCATCCGGTAAGGTAATATAACTTGGTAAGTGCTTACTTGGGTAAGCGTTTGGTAAATGGTCCCTAAATGTAAGTATGCTAGATGGGTTTATTTCGGATTTTACTTGAGAGTTTACTTGTAATTGATAAGGATCAATAAGAACTGAGTTTATATGAGTCCACACGACCCCATAGGAACCAAAACCTTTACAAGCACGACCTTAAGCTGTAAGTAAATCAAGCCCAAGCTTGGCAGGATAGATGCTAACCTGCCTCAGCCATGTTTTTAATGAGCTGACAAGTTCAGTCATGGCTTGAATACACCCCTATAACGAGTGTGCACAATAGGGTTATTTAGCTTACCGACCTTCTACAAAACTAAGGGCCTGTTTGTTAGTAGCTTAATGAGCTTAATGGGACTTACAACTCATTCGGTAGCTATTACAATACTGTTTGGTAGTGGCTTAATGATATAAAAAGTGGCTTATCTAGTAAGCTTCTAGGTGGAGCTTTATGCAGAAAGCCAAGTTTTTTCCAAATCTGTCCCTCCCAGTTAAAAAACACGCTTCTTCCATCTATCAAAAAACTTTTCCAATCTATACAGACAAATTAATCCACACAGACAATTTTATCCATACAGGACTTAATGAAAAACCAACCAAACAGTTTCAAGTTTTTACACGGGCAAGCTGTTTTACACCAGCTGTATAACCCTAGAGGCAGGTCAGATGGAGGCCATTGAGCTAAGAAAACATTTAGAAGGTCATGCTCTTACTGAAAACTCATTTAATGTCAAGATCGATGGAAATCAAAATGATGCATGCATACAAAGACTTCCTTTTCAATCCTCATAAACCCAAGGGGTCTTGCCTTGGTGCACTCAATCACGGGGTTCGCCAAGTAGTCTGTGTTCCACAAATTGTGTCATTTAAATTAAAGGAAAAGAGACACGGTCATTTAAGCATCACAAACCGCTTTGCCATTTCAAAATATAAAAGAACAATAAGCATCATGGGAAGGTCATGGAGTTAATTAAAATATCATTTAAGGTTATATACCTAAGAGTGAGGTTATGGGGAAAACCCCTACAAAAATGGAAAACTGAGGAACACCCTAATTACCGATCATTTGTATGATATGCATATGTGCATACAAGTAACCGAAGATGTTTTCTAGTTTCTATGCACATGCATACTGTAAATATTACTTATAAATTACTTGTAAGCACATGTGCATACCATACAAATGAACACGGTTACTAGGGTTTTCCCTTGAACCTGGCCCATATACCTAAATATACCAGTTTTTTTAGAGCGGGCTGTTTAACACCAGGAGCAGGTCTAATGATGGTCATTGAGTTAAAAAAAAATTTAGAAGGTCATGTTTCTAATTAAAAACTCATTTAAGGTAATTCAACCAAAGAACCGCATCTGAAACAGAGGAAATTTCAAGGGTATGGCATGGTTACCTGCAATTTTGAAGCACTTGAGCATTCGTATCTCAATCCATGGCGAGTTACTATGTAAAAGGAATATCGAGTTTGCCCTTCTTCTTGAGTAAGACATGGCATACGCCCTACTTCCACAACATCGGACAAAAGGGTGGAGTCTTGAGGACTTATGTCTGCAATAGCTTGACACGAACGTGGCTTATGAAAATCGCAAATTTATAAAGATGCATAGTTTGATAAAAGTGTTTTCGGGTATTAGCCAACTATTTGAATTAGGCTTCAACAATGACAAGAAAGGAAGAATCGTCTACACCAAAATTAATACAATCAATGATTTTGTATTATTATATTGATAAATAGGTCACATGGATCATCCCAAAAACTGGAAATCTTCTTTGGACTAAGGAAGCATAAAAAAAAAAGAGCATAATGCATTAAAATGCAACGGAATTTGCCTTGATTCCTATTTAGTGTAACCAAGATTTTTTTTCTCGATCAATGTGATAGTTTCAAAAGTTCCTATTTAATGTAATAAAGTGTCAAAAATTCTTATTTTGTACTCATTTTGACCGGTAACCTACTGATTTTGTAACATTTGATGACATGGATGTCAATTTTATCGCCCACTTCGTCGTAACCCTTTCATAAGAAGGTACCTACGCCATCAAATGTTACAAGATCATTGCTTTGTTGCTCCAATTGAAGTTAGACTAAATAGGAACTAAACCACACTTTGGTGCATAAAGATGCATTTTACCCTAAAGAAAAAGCATCATAAGATCACTTGCCCTGTTGCCCATGTTATAAACATGCACTATCTTGTTAAATCAAGAACTCAAATATAGCTGGAAAAGGACTCTTTCCCCTGTGAAACACCAATTACAGAATACTCTTACACTTGAGTGGCACAAGTTTCCCTTCAAAGGAAGAGGCATGGATCTAATGGGATGAGTTTGCCTGTTAAATTATGTCTGTATGTGTGTCTATATATAGTTTTGTGACAGAAATTACTACAAACTTGTACTGCCAAAGCAATATTAAGGTGAGTAGAATAAAACCGAAAGCCACATCCTCAAGAGGCGAGTTATTACCTGTGGACATAAAATACAAGAAGATGCATGGTCCTTGAAGAACAACAAAGCATGGAAGCCAGTCATCAACTTCTGTATCGTCAAGAGGAGCTGGCTCTCCAGGTAGTGCTGTCCATCTCTGTGAAATGAGGTTCAAGGGCATCATAAAATAGTTAGCAGACTGAAAATAGTAACTCAATACAAGAGACATATGCAATGAGTTGATGGAAATACAGTTCGCATCAGTAAATAGCCAGAAAGACGGGCAGAACGAAGAATTTCGTCGATGTGTTCCAACCTGCATTAAGTAACAGGTGATATTGAGTGGAAAAAAGAAACACACTTTTCCATAGACAAAAGCCACAATGAGAGAGACAAGAAAAGTGAAGAATCCCACAGAAGTTATACACACCAAAAAAATATATTAACCAGAAATTCTTTATCCCACCTGCTTTGTATCAGAAATAGTATATGCACATCTCCATTTTTCTGCAATTGAGGTGCGTTTGGTACACAGACGGCACCGGACAGAAACAGACGGGGCATGATAGAACAGGATGAGCGAGAGTGACGTTTTTAGGGTTTTAATTTGACATTGATAGTTTAGTAATTTACCAATCTTATCCCATCGTCCTGGTTTTTGTTCCACCTATTTTGGTGGGACATAAAACCCGTTTTTGTCCCACTAGGTCCTACCCTGTCCCAGTCTAAATATATCACCAAATATGGGACAAGAAGTTTTTGTTTTCTCCTGTCCAGCATACCAAAAGCACCTTGGTACCAAAAGCACCTTGGGAAACAATCCATTTCTTAGTATGAACGTTCACCTCACAAACCATAACCCCTCTTTCTAGCTTTTCCAAATACTTCAACCATCATTTCTCATGGTACATTAGCAACAAAAGGTTTGTTTCTTCTTCTACTTAAACATGGCAGGGATGGTGGGCATGTTTATATAGCAGAAACGAAAGGTCTATAGCTATTACAAGTGAAAGTATCACTACAGCTTACCGAGCTTTCAGATGAGCTTCTCTTTCCTCTAAATCAGCAAGTTCTGATCGAAGTGATTCTGCTTCTGCAGCAGATAATACAAGCTGTCCGACACAGTAACAGAAGTTTTTAGAGAAAATATAGATCAAAATGTCGAACTGGGTTGAAGAATGTTGTACTGTATCGACCTTTTTTTGCACATCTGGGTCTGCTCCCCAAGATAGCCTCCGTAGATTAAATAAGCTCAACATTGATGCAGCACTTCTAAATCTTCTTCTAGCCCACAGATGGTTGCTAGAGCTAAGCTAATGCAAATCAAAGCAACTAAAATAGAATCAATTCAAGTAACTACGAGTCCATTCAGTCAAGAGAAAAGCGGATCTATGTATAAGATTGCTCGATTTTTCTCATCAATACCTCAAATTCGATTTTTGCACGCGAAATTGACGAACTTCTTGTTTGAGGGGTCTCTACAACAGAAGTCGAAGACTGGAAATGATCTGGGAAAACTTGTATTCCTCTAGGACCATCACCCATGAAGCTTGTTTCCACTCAAGTGAACCAGGTTTTGAACAAAATGAGATTCTTCAACTTCAGCATTCAGATTGAAAACTAGTCAGATCTCAAGATATATGCAATCTGTTATAACAAAAATCTAAAAAGATAAGTAGCGCCAGCCAGGAACTAACAATACAGATACGGGAAATCAAGTAAACTTTAGTAGATAATACACAAGGAGGGTCATCATATACCAAAGACTTCAAAAGGAACATCGCCTTTTTTAAAGATTGATATTGGTACCACACTGCCCTTAAGCCTCTATCAGATTTATTCCTCTTTCAAATTGATAAATGAATGGATATTGTGACTTTCAGTTCTCAAGACAAATAAGACTGCACATCTCAAGTACTCGATATTAAAAAGGGGAGAGTGTGTATAATGTCATTTGCAAAATACTAAGGGATTGTAAGTGCTCCAAAGTTGGAAGCATCTAAGGTGAAGTAACTAAAACCGTTATACTGCTAAGTGCTAATAGCAAACACTAACAACGCAACAGGCTAGAAAAATCCAGAAACAAATTGCATGCATCAATCAACTGAAACTAATACAGCAACAGGAAAAAGGCATAATTTCAGAGATAGCAACAATGTATAGCACGCTGCAACCGTCACCCTGCATCCGAATCTCAATCTCGGACAAAATGAGATATGTAACCATAGTAAATGGAGATCGGCTAAAAACTCTAGACTTGTAAATAAAAAATCTGACACCACATTTAGTCATAATCCATCAATAAGCTTCGCATTAACTAAAAAGGCCCTCGAGGAAAAGGTATCATCACGATACTAATTGATACACAAAGAGTACAAGCTATTGCTTCTTTTTCTGGATTGTAATCCTTGAAAAAGAACTGTGACATTATGGATGTGATCCCTATTTCCAATCGCTGATAAACATAAACCAGACACCAGTTTGTTTACACTTAAGTGAAGTCAATTTGGATCAGCTACAGTAAAACCTCTATTGTTTATGACCTTCAAATCAGATGCCATCGATCATGTTTCATAGTACCAGACTACATCATCAACCAGGTAGAAGGAAGTTCGAATATTTGGAGAGCAGTCGAGCACACCATTGATGTAATGGATTAAGGAGATGACATGTTCAGTCCCACTGAGATTCTAGCTCTAACCAACAGCCACCTGCAAGGAAAGGAGTGTGCGATGGGCAAAGAGATAGAACGTATTTGAGCCACTCAGGCTTCCCTTCAAGTCAACTTTCCCAGTGAGGATTCTTGTTTGGAATATTTTTGGTGCTGGTTAAGATGATTTCCTTAGAAATCTAAGATATTCTGGTTGAAAAATGTACCCAGATTAGGAATGATACTTAGGATTTTGCCTCTAATTTTTTTTCCATAAATTGAATCAAGAAATTAAGTCTGTTGCAGAGTATTTGGCTGAGCTACAAGGCATGTAGCAGGAACTATATCTGTAAATGATTTGGTGCAGTAGAGAAAGAAGGTTAGAAAGTTTAAGGGACAAGGACTGAATATTCACTTTTCTAATGGGCCTTCATTTAGACTGAGATACTTCAAATGGGATAATTGTAGACAAGATATCCAACCTTAAGAGAGTGTTTCGGTTTGTTCAGCACGATCATAATAGGAGCATTCAGTGATATCTGCACTAATTTCAGTTGTACCTATGGTGAAACTTTCAGAAAGAAACCAATTAATCAATGCGACGATTTGTGGACGAAAAGGGAAAGAAAAACAATGAATCTGACCATCATGATGATGACCATTCTACTTGTGGTATTTTGTCTGTTTGTTGGTGGGAATATTGTCTCATCAAGGAGTCAGAATCCGCAAATAGTTGCACAATCAACCTTTGAAGTTGATTTTAGGGCAATGCATTGGGTAAATATGGGTTACTATAGATGAGGGATCTAATGCAGAACATGGTTTATATCATTCTGAAACCTACGGTTCTCTATAAAGATAGCGGACCAGCCATTAGTATTGCTTGTCCAATATAGCACAAGAAAATAAAGCACACTGTTGACAAGAACGGATACTTCTTCAAGAACTATGAATTTTCTTCCCAAATCTCTCTGTAGAACACATTTATGGACCAACTTGAGGGGGAGAGTTAGGTCAATTGTAACTGGGCCACACATACATTTGTGAATTGTGAATAGCTAACCAAAAGCCAATACCAAAATAAGTGTGTTCTTCCACTCCATCTTGTGCTATCATTACAAATTCAAGTGGATACGATGAATTATAGTACCAATTTCTAATAATCATCTAGTTTGTTCCAATTATACAATCAAATAAACAACTATTTAACCCAAGCAGCCAGAAAAAAGGGGAAATTAATTTACAATAATCAACTTCAAAATTAACAAGACTGTCTCCATCATAAATCCATAGCCACACATAACAAATTCAAATTTGAAAAGAAATCACTAAAGTTCGATAGAGCAACAAATAATCAAAGAGCAGCATGGAATTCACATGATCGATACGAAGTTAAACAGCAGCATACTAAACAAACATGATCATAAAGAACTTACAACTTGAGAACTGTTTGATTCTATCCATAAAACACAAAGCGGAAGTCGGAAGATCCTTATAATGCAGATTGAAGAAGCTTTTCTAGAGAGAGAAAGTAGAGAGAGAGAGAGATGATAATGATGATGATTGCTTTTCTTAATGGAGTTGTTTTGTGATGAAACGATATGAAAGAATGCAGCCATACGGTGCCGTTAGCTAATACGTACTTGTGCTGTTGGTTTGCAAAATTACCATTTTGCCCCTATATCGTAAAAAACTTTACAAAATTTTCAAAACAAACCCTTAACTTTTTGAAATACTTCTTTTGTCCCAAAAACTTCTGAAAGTTAATTTTTTCGACCAAAAATGTTTAAATGCAAACAATAACAATTAATTTTTGTTTAATTTTTAACTTGTTCAATGAAATTAAAATAACCAGTTTGATCATATTATACCTTAAATAAAAATTTCAGTAGAGTTCAAGACTTTTTCAAAAGTCAACTTTAACTTCGGTTACTACATTAAATATTAGAATAAAACTGTTTTTTATTTTTATGTAATTAATGCGTTGGAAATTAGGGGTGCTCATGGATTTGATTGATCGGTTTGAAAACATTTGAACAATCCAACCTAATGTTTGTGGTTTGAAAAATATTAACTCAACTCTATCCAAACCAAAGTGGCAACCCAACCCAACTCAACCCAAACCGTACGGATTGGTCGGGTTGATACTTTGGTACATTAAAATATTCTTCTAACCTTGAATATGTTGTTCTCTATTTGTAACATTTTTTTTCATCATCAACTATTTGATACAACTTATCCATACTTTATATGTATATCACATTCAATTAATTTTCTCTATTTACACATATATGTTCACAGTTATTAAACATAACATATATACGAATGAGTTATATAACGATGCGAATAAATTGAAAATATTTGTATATGAAGAGTGTAGATGATAGTGTAACTGTCTAATGTATATATTAAAAAAAAATTCAACAATCATATTAAATCCAATAAATAAAAGGATATCGTGTTCATCGAGTTGGGTTAAGTTCAAATAATAGTAATCCAATATTAACCCAATACATACGGTTTGAAAAATTTACAACTCGATTAGGCACCGGGTTGCTTCGAATTAAGCTATTTCGTGTTAGGTTGAGTTAGGTTGGATTAGTCGGGTAAATTGTTGCATACAATGTCGATTCCCGATTTAGTAGACTAAATTCTTACTCGATAAGTGATAGTATTGAATTTTACCCGTAATCGTTTACCAGGTAAGTGTTTAGTAAACGACCCCTTACTCTTAAATCTATTTCGGAAAAAAAAGAAGCAACAAAGTGGAGAACTAAACTCAAGGTTTAGTTTGTAAAGTTGAGTAAACCTTGAGGTTATTTATGTAATTCAATTTCTTAAGCTTGTTAGCTGGGCTGTAAGGAATCAAGTCAACGCTCTAACAACTTGAAGTTATATCAATTGTCAATTTAAGCCCTTTTACTTTCACTTACTTACATTTCAATCCTTTCATCTTTTTCCGGTAAAATAGTAACGTTTTGGAACTCATTCGATTGATGGAATATATCACATCTCGTATCAGTCTCTCAAAGTTTACCAAAGTTGAGAGGATTGTTGATATTACTTATTGTATGTGTTTCGATCAACGGTGCTCAAAAATCCGACCAACCCGATCAACTCAACCAAACCTAATGCAAAATAACTCAACCTGAAGCAACCCGATGTTTAATCGAGTTGTAAAATTTTCAAACTGTAGGTATTGAGTTGATATTGGGTTACTATTATTTGAACACAACCCAACCCGATTAACCGAATATCATTTTATTTCTTGGATTTAATATGATTGTTGAATTTCTGTTAATTTATATACATTAGACAATTACACTATCACGTACGCTCTTCATATACACATATTTTCAATCTATTCACATCTCTATGTAACTCATTCGTATATATGTTCAATAACTGTGAACATATATGTAAATTGAGAAAATTAATGGATTGTGATATACGTAAGAAGTATGGATAAGTTGTATCAAATGGTTGATGATGAAAAAGAAATTATGAGTAGAAAAATAACATATTCAATGTTAGAAAAATATTTTAATTTACCAAAGTATCAACCCGTACGGTTTGAGTTGGGTTAGCTTGCACTTTGTTTTGGGCTGAGTTGGGTTAAGATTTTTTAAACCGCAAACATTGGATTGAGTTGTTCAAATGTCTTCAATTCGATCAACCCAACCCATGAGCACCCTTAATTTAATGACACAACTTCAAATACAACAAAGATAAAGAGATTCACATCATTTGATTCTTTTTTATAACAGATAAACACTAGCCCATGTCAGATAACTTTCATATCAAGAGAGAGGCAAATATGCATGTACTATGTAGTAGATAACTGTTTAGAAGTTTTTTATCTGATATATTTAAATTTATTAAAAAACCAGACATTATAATAACTCCTTCTAGACTACCTTTCGATAGTTTAAAGGATGATAATAATGTCATTTTTGCAAAGACAGAAGTTTTCAACAAACGGTGCGAACTTACAAACCAATTTTCATGTGTTGTTTTATATATATAATGTTATTTCATATGTGAAACGTTCATTTTGTGGCTTTCTCCACAAACAAAATAGTCCTGAAAGTTTTACATATGAAACAACATTGTATAAACACTGCATCATATGAAGCAATAGATGAAAACTAATTTGTTTTTTAGGAGGTGCTGAAGTGTGAAGTCTTATTTCACTTTTGATCAATTGGAGGTGGTGCTGAAATCTGAAGTCTGAATCAATAAAACTGTTTGTTTTTATAAACCAACAAGCGTCTGGAATTTGAAATTTGAATCAATAGTTTATTTTTGTAGAATCAGGTGCAAATATTTTGCAAAATTCTCTTGATTTAATAAAATTTCCGTTGCCGAAATTCATCTCAAGTATTGCTTAACAGATGGAACACAGTAAGAACCTTTTGAATACCTTTTAGACTTCCGATGCTATCAGAAATGTGGAAAGATAGAAACTTTTCATAGAGGATTGGTCGCTGATAGAAGTTCTTGTTTCACATTAATCTTCTAAGCTAACTTATATATATATATAGGGGATTAATCAAATGAAAACTGATTAGTTTATGGTAACTGTGAAATCCAATCTCAACCACAAATCAACGGATAAATTAGAAAATTAATAATTATGGTAGTTTGAGTTAAAATTATAATTATAGGGCATTTTAGTTATTTTTTTAAAAAAACTTCGTTCTCCTCTCTTCTCTCTCTTCTCTCATCTCTCCGACCTCCAATCTCCGGTCTCCGGTGAACAAAAATCCGACAGGTACCAAGTAATCACAAAGATACACAATGTGATACCCATTGTGATATACAGTGGTACTCAAATGGTATAACTGTATATCACAATGGGTATCACAGTATATCACAATGAGTATCACATTGTGTATCCTTGTGATTACTTGGTACCTGCCGGATTTTTGTTCACCAGAGGCCGGAGAGATGAGAGATGAGAGAGGAGAGAGAAGATAGGAGAGGAGTTTTTTAAAAATACCTAAAATGCCCTCTAATTATAATTTTTACTCAAACTACCATAATTATTAATTTCCTAATTTATTCGTTAATTTGTGATTGAGATTGGATCTCACAGTTACCACAAACTAATCAGTTCTCCCTTGAATGAGCCCATATATATATAGGGGCCTATTCAAGGGAGAACTGAGTTGTTTGTGGTAACTGTGAGAACCAATATTAACCACAAATCAATAGATAAATTAGGAAATTTATAAATTTGGTAATTTTAAATTAAAATCTTAATACAAGGATATTTTTGGTATTTTAAAACTCTCCTCTCTTCTCTCTCCGGCCTCCGGCCACCGTCCTCCGGTGATACCACTATAATACCATTGTGATACCTAAAAATATTGGCTCTGTTAAACAAAAAATACATTGTGATACCTAATCATATATAAGATGCATAGTGATACCACTGTGTTACATCTTCGATCGATCACACAAACGACATCAATGTGATACCCAAACACCTATATGATGCATTGTGATACCATTGTAGTATCACCGGAGGACGGTGGCCGGTGGCCAGAGAGAGAAGAGAGGAGGGAGGAAAGTTTTAAAATACCAAAAATATCCTTGTATTAATATTTTAATTCAAAATTGCCAAAATTATAAATTTTCTAATTTATCTATTGATTTGTGGTTAATATTGGTTCTCACAGTTACCACAAACTAATTAGTTCTCATTTGATTAGGCCCCTACATATATATATATATATATATATATATCGAGAGAGAGAGAGAGAGAGAGAGAGAAAGAGAGAGAGAGACACTTGGGATCATGTGAGACCAAGGGTTTTTCGTGAGACCCGTAAGACCAATTCTCAACCCTTGGATTAGATCTACAATCTGAACATTCTTCATAAACGTCACGAGACTTCTCAATAATCACAAAATTGCCATCGTGCAACTTTAGACCATTAGATCATTAGCTTATAAAGTTGATCAATGAACATAAATTGGTCTTGGGTCTCACGAAAAACCTTTGGTCTCACGTGAACCCAACCCTATATATATATATATATATAAAGAGAGAGAGAGAGAGAGAGAGAGAGAGAAGGTATGAGCATACATTTCACATGGGTGATGAAAGGACGATGACGTCCCTGGTGAAGAAAGAAGCAACAGTCAAAGAAAATCAAAGAAAAGAAAAATAAGAGAAATTAAGATATTACTTTACCTCTTTATTTATTCGGATCCTATTAAGTGATAAGAGACTCTGGAAAAAAAAAACAGTCTAAATTACAAAACGTCTAAACGAATCAGACATAAGTGGTAATTAAGAGCTAAAAATGAAAAAAACAAACAAGTCCTTAGTTTGTATAATTTATTGGGTTTGTAAATGATTATACGTCTATGAATTTAACTGAATGAGCATATACAACATACATTTGATAATAACTGGTATACAGAAACCAACCGGGAGTCCGCTATGTTGCAATTTCAACCACGTTCAGGAAAATCGTATTTTAACATATTGTTTTTTTATAGTTAACGACAATCATAACACAACGAATCGAAATTAGTTTCTGATCATGGTATAACAGCTTTTTAACTAAATTTGTTCGTTAGGTCGATACAAAATGTCTGTTTCACATAAAATTCAGATATTTTAACAGACGAATCTAACATTAAAATCATCGATAACGCCTAACATTTTGTTTAATTAGAACTAAATGGTCCCTCACACTCTTATGGCACCAAAACCGAAGTTAATCAGTACAGTTTGTAAGGTTTTTCAAGATTATTTAATGAGCAGATAAGTCAAAAAAGCATCACCAAATCGAACAATTTAATGTTTTGAACATACCATTTAATAAAAGTCGTTAGATGTCGCAAACTGAGAATTTAATTTTTTAGGCAACAGAAGCACAATAATGGCTTCACATTAAGGAAAAAGTTTTCACAAAAGCAACCTCTCTACTTAATGTCACTAGATAGACATTTAGGGGGTGTTTGGGATTGCTTATTTGAAACAACTTATGTTTTTTTTACAAAAACATTTATCAGCTTATTATAAGTTAGAAGGGTTTAACTTCTTCAAAAACTCCTTATTACCGGTTTGACACCGGTATAAGTTGTTTATCCAAACAATCAAAAGTGCTTATTACCGATGTCATACCGGAATAAGTCAATAAATTGTTTTTATAAGCAATCTCAAACACCCCCTTAATAGATCTAGGGTGTAGAAAAGACGATATGGCTCGTGGGGGAATTAAGATTCGACTCGTTAAAACGCTTCACAATTTTGTATGTTACTTCTTAACGATGGATTTTAATTTTTTTTGTGATTTTCCCCAAATTTATTTGCAGGGTTGTTGAAATTCTCGGGTGTTTTCGTCGACATGTCATTAATTGACCGAGTTTAGGTGTTAGTTACGACTAGGGGTGCTCACCAACCTGATCAACCCAACCCGATGAGAAATAACTCAACCTGAAGCAACTCGATGTCTAATCGAGTTGTAAAATTTTCAAACTGTAGGTATTAGGTTGTTATTGGGTTATTATTATTTGAACGCAACTCAACCCGATGAACCCACTATTCTTTTATTTATTGGATTTAATATGATTGTTGAATTTCTATTAATATATACATTAGACAATTACACTATCAGGTACGCTATTCATATACGCCTATTTTCAATCTATATGTATCTCTATATAACTCATTCGTATATATGTTTAGTAACTGTGAACATATATATGTAAATTGAAAAAATTAATTGAATGTGATATACGTAAGAAGTATGGATAAGTTGTATCAAATCGTTGATGATGAAAAAGAAATTATCAGTAGAGAATTAACATATTCAAGGTTACAATAATATTTTAATGTACCAAAGTATCAACCCGACCAACCCGTAAGGGTTGGGTTGCACTTTGGTTTAGGTTGGTTTGGGTTAAAATTTTTCAAACCGCAAACATTAGGTTGGATTGTTCAAATGTCTTCAACCCGTTCAACTCAACCCATGAGCAGGGACTGGTATTGCTCACTGCAACAAGATGAGTCTCTTGGAACGTTTAATCAGTCATTTTAGACGTCTTAATAGAATAGTTAATGAGACATTTACAAGTTTTATGACCAAAACTGTGTGTCATACGTATACAGTAACGTTACAATAAATTGTTGGGACGAATTCAAGTACTTAACAAGTTATATCGACGAAATTAGGTAATCTGATAAGATATAATAAATAAACCATTTTATTAGCTTTTTTATATGACATTTTTAACACGATTTATTTCTTGTGTTACATAAGATACTCAATTTCGTCAATAAAATTTGTTAGATCGTCGTTACAGCTTACTGTAACGCCATTACATATGATTCACAGTTGTTAAGTCATTTAAGAACTACCAAAAAACGTCCTAAAAAGCCTAGTTTGTTATGGGGGCTATTCTTTCGTTGTTAGGCGGGATCGTTTTAAATGCGTCGAGACCAACAACCAACCGAATTCTTACGCTATAAAATCCGACATGTTATCGTTGTTTTTCTTTGTGATATTTGTACTTGATCGTTTTCCAAATGACAATGTCGTGGAATTCATACGTTCGTACCCCGATTCCCCATGCTCCCTTTACCAAAATACATCGAGTAAACGTATTCATGGCAATGAAGACCGAAATCCAATCAAGAAAATTGATAAAACCGTCCATTTCAACTCCTCCTTCTCTTCGTAGTTATAAAATAAGCTTCGTCGACGAGCTTGCACCCTCGATGAATATCTCTCTCGTTCTTTTTTTCCCTCATAATACCGATTATAACCCTACCCAACTTGAGAAATCATTAGAGAAAACCCTAACACTTATGTACCCTTTAGCTGGTAGATATATGGCGGACGTCCGCACAGTTGATTGTAATGACCAAGGTGTTGAATTTGTCCAAGCCCAAGCTGATACCACAATTCAAGAAATTCTTGATTTCAAGCTCAAAGTGGATCCTAACCTGATCAACCAATTCATTCCCTCCAAACTTTTGGCAGATGGACCCACGGATGCAGTACTTGCCACCCAACTCACTGCATTCGAGTGTGGAGGTTCGGCGCTTGGTGTAAGCATCGCACATAGGATCGGTGACGTCTCTACTATGAGCGCGTTCCTTAACCAATGGGCAACTTTGAGTCGAAAAGACGCCAAAGTGGAGACGGGTTTGATCACATCGTTCTCATCGTTTCCTGCTCAAGATTCACCTTTCATCGAACAAGGATTCACCAAGCTAAACGACAATGGTTACGTCACAAAGAAACTCTCGTTCGACGAGAACGCGATATCAAACATGAGAATGAAAGCCACATCAAACGGAAAGACCGACAACCGTCAATTGTTCAAGGTACAACTGGTGTCAGCCCTGATCTGGAAGGCGTTCATCGGTGTAGATCACGCGATCTACGGTCATTCGAGAGATTCTGTCGCTCTCCAACCAACAAAACTCAGACAAAAGACAAGATCCTCGTTACCCAGATCAATTTCTATAGGAAATCAATGGGGGCCAATCGTTACTGAACGTAATACTACCAAAAAGGTAGAATTAGGATTTGAAGATTTGATAGATCTGTTGGGTGATTCTGTGATGAAGACGATGAAAGAGTACTCGAAATTAGGCCATGATGATAGCCAAGAAAGGAAAGAAATGGTTTTGAAGTCGTTTTCCCAAATTAGAAACATTTCTAATGATAGAAATGTGGTGTGGTTGGTGAGTTGGTGTAGGTTTCCATATTATGATGTGGATTTTGGTTTTGGGAAACCTGAATGGATAAGCTGTGGGTGTGTACCGTTTAAGAGGGGGGTGATAATGGTGGATGATGCAGGTGGTAATGGAGTTGAAGCGTATGTTAGCATGGGAGTCGCGGACGTCCGTCATTTCGAACAAGATGAGGATATTAAAGCCTTTTCTGTTTAAACATCCATGGCCAATTGTGATCTCTCTTGAGACATGATATCATTTCAATGTAACCTTGGTTATATCAAAATGGATATTAAATTAAAGATAATAAAGTAATTGTTTTTATTTCATTATTTTTATTTATATCTTTCACTTATTTTCAATTTTTAAAAAAATAGGGGGAGTATTTTTTTAAATATGGTTATAACCACTTATTTAATCATATCTCTTGAATAATATCAATTAACGGTTTGGATGAATCCTTTAATTTTTTTATTTTTCAAGGTTCTTTTCGGATATTTTTAACCACTCTGGTTGGATCATATTGAGAAACCTATTTATTATGAATATCATGATTTTCATGCAATTATGTCATAGATATAATGTATTTTAACCAACTATCCATGATAAATAACGTTAAATAATCATGAATATAATCTATCATAAATCTCTAACAAATATCATGTATTCTTTTATGTGTAATTTCACACACTTTTATCATAGACATCATGTATTTTTATTGTTATATCATATAGTAAGATCTTACGTCGGTTAGGGAAGGGAACAAATGTTGTCGTATAAAGGATTTGATACCTCCTATATCATATGCGTTTTAAAACCGTGGGTACAGTTAGCTTGTGATGTTACAGATTGTATCTGAGCAGGAATCGGACTGGTGTGGAAGCAAGGACGCTAGGCTCCCAAGGGGGTCGATTATTAGGGACTGAATACCTCATTTATCATTACGGTTTCTAAATCTGTGAGTTCGGATGTGAACAAAACAGACAATATCTAATGCGTTTAACCTTATATGTTACACATATATTTTCATGATAAATAATTTTCATCATAAATATTTGTTACGGAAATAACATAAATAGTTGGTTTTCTAGGGTTTCAATGAATTTGTTGTTCTCATCCGAACCCATCCTATAAATCATTCTCCTCTATGAATAACTTCTATGGCAGAGTAAATGTCTTTAGCCTAGCGGTATCTGAGTCATTGGTTTCCTAAGGGTGAGAAGAGTGTGTGAGTTTATTTGTTCTATTTGTCGTATATAAATATTATATACTTCAAAAAAAAATGTACAGACATGGAAATAACCAACTTCATCTTCAAGAAAGTAGTTCAAGAATTGAAGGGCAAAGTAGTCATTAGCATTATCAAGAATGCAGAAAGCCCTGTAATGTATGAAACATGGAGAATCAAGATTCAACCATATATTTATGGAGAAAGTTTCAAAATGGTTTTAGACATCTCATAACATACACCACTTGTTTCAAAAAAGGAAATTGAGAAGGAAATACATGTCTTAGGATGGTCTTCTCTCTTTCCAAAAGCTTCATAAGCACCCACCCAACTGCCAAACAGGAAAAAGTAAGAAACACAAGTTTTAACATCATTAAAATATGTAACCAAACCGACCCGACCCAATATCTTCCACCTAAGGTAAGGTTGGGGAGGATATACGCAGACATTTCATCTGTTTCGGAGAAGAACCCCAACTTTTTTTTTTTTGATTAACTTGGATATCCAACCCGCTATGCGAGCCGACTAATCCCAGAGCAACCACCTGTTTTGCAGATAGCCCGGAGTCACCGTATTTGAACCTCCGTGGCCACAAGGGGATCTTTATTCCTCCTTGGATTTGAACCTGGTACCTCCTGGTACTTTTGACCTTTGGAGCCAAGCTCAAATCAATCAGTCACCACCCTTGTGGTTGAAGAACCCCAACTTGTGAAAAGGGCAAATAAAACATATAGAAAGCACAACTGAAAGCCACGAATTTGTCGGGAAATGGTTTTTCCAAGACAAGATTATTTTAGGAACACAAAGATCCGACCTAACGGAAAAGCACACGAAACAACACCAAAGAAACTCCTTATCCCTATCAAAAGGAACTTGTAAAATGACCTAGGGGTGAAAATGAGACGATACGGCTCATAATGGCTTATGAGTTGGTTCATTAAAAAGCTTGGCAAGCTCAAGACCAGCCAAGCAAAGCTCAATCCTAGTATGGCTCAGCCTTGACAGCTTAACCTAAATGAGCCAACCCCACAAAGCCTATAGTTGTAACCCTTTAGGAAATAATTTATCTGAAATTGTGTTTTACGTGTTCATTTTCAATTTTACAAAAGCACATTTGAGGTGATCCAAAGCTCGAGCTTATATGAGCCTATGTGACCCCAGAAAATCAATGCTATAGGAGCTGCCAAGCATGAGCTAGTAAAAGCTCGGCAAGCTGAGACCGAGCCTATACAAGGTCACAGGCGTAGCAAGTTCAAGCTTGGATCGACTCAATTAAACACATTGTTAATTATTCCATTCAATCACGGCATTATAGAAATGTCAGGGGAGTATAAACAAGCAAAAGAAAAACTACTGCATACCAAAATAGCATCAATCTCCTCTTGAGACATTGGTGTTCTTTTGGGCTGAAGAGAGGCTTTTCCTCCTAGAGTTTTTTCAGATGGGGCAGACCTTGAGAAAAAGGCTGAAGGAACATCACCGGCAACAGGCGCTGCAGCTTGGTTCTGAGTTGTGGAACCTGCAGGAATATATATATAAAGCAGATATATGAAAGTAAAAATCTCCAACATTTGGATAATTGAAGTTGGTTTAGATAAATCATAAAGTATTATGGTTGGCCTTTCAAATAAATTGCATCATACCACTGAAAATCATGGTTTGCAAGTGACGTAAATAACTGAACTCGACCACTAGAAACGAATGACTTGCCTACTGTACACTATTCTTAGCTTTTTAGTCGTCAGTATGCAGTTTCTGTTTCCTTGATTGTTTTAACCTATTTTCCTCATTTTTGTCTCTGTTGCCCTTGTCTTGCCTGTTTAAATGTATCTGTTGCTTGATTTCACACACTCTTACCTGCACATAGCACTTTTTTGTCTTTCATTTTTATTTTTTGTTTTACAAATCGGGTGTCTGGTAACAATCTCTCTATCCCTTGTGATACAGGAAAGGTTTGTGTATATCCTACCCCCCCCCCCCAAAAAAAAAAGACCCTACATGCGTAAGATTTACTGGGTTTGTTTGGTTTTAACTAAAAATGATCATGAAACATGTTTTCATGTATCAAGCGTCCATAAAAGAAACAATGAAGCGACCATCAGCTAAACTAGTTACAACTTAAATTCCCCTAGTGTGGTGCATAAAGACAACGGGATGAGAAAAATCAACCGGGTTAGATTCTTTCCATCTACATATGCACTTGTGGCCACCGGCAGATTTACCTCAGAGGCGTGGGCACAGCCTACAGTCACGACTTGTCATGGGATTAGTCTCGACAAAGCCTGGGATCACCCATTTCCAAAAAAAAGAACTTAAATACCCCTAGATTGAGATGAGCAGTTAGTTTGTGTAAAAGTTTTGTATATTTATCACCAAATTCCTCCAATAAATTGAGATTCCTACACTAGGCTTCTCGGTTTTGTGAGGGTTGGGAGGAAAGTTCTTGTATCCAGTCTATTCGATAAACCAAACCAAAGAAACCCGGTATATGCTACCCGCAGGTAGGGTCTTGGGGGTAAGATATATGCAGACCCTACCTCTATCCTAAGAGAAGACCTCCAACTTGTGAACATCTGGTATATTCGATGCACTATGCCACTATGCAAATAGGTTGTGTCCCTAAATGGAACCCATAACCTTCCAACCACAATGCAAGAACTTACCAGTTGCTCAACACTTGCCTTTTACCACAAACCTCTTACTTAGGATTACCATGATTAGTATATTATACACAATTGGTGATTCGTTTATATTAATGTATGGTTAGGTCATATCTCCTTAATTTACGTTGAAAATCATGTCGCCTTCTGGTCGAATCTATGAAAATATGTTTCTGCTTGAGTAGTTGAGTCAAGCTTGAAATAAGCATAACTGATCAATCTAACTTGTCTCTCTATTTGCTAATCGATATAGGAGAAATCAACAAGCAGAACAGAAACATGAATGCAATTAATGCGTCATTCCGACATTTAGTTGATATGCACATCCTGCTATTCCAGGGAATACGACGCAATAACCTAATTTGTAAGATTAATCTAAATTATATGAAACAATTAATTCATAATTATGTTCTATATGTTGATTCTTCCTATATGCTTAATCATATTCGCTAATTCCAGCCAAACCCAATCAGAAACAAATTATCATAAATTCAACTGGAAGATACCATGATCTGCAACATAAATTAAGAACAAATGACGTAACCATACATTAATACGAACGAATCAACATCTATTTATGATATTCATCCAGAATCTAAATCAACAAACACAAAGACTAAAACGAAGAACAAACCAGAAGGCTTCGGATGACGCTGTGGAAACTTGATCCGTGGAATTCTCTTCATCGCTTGCGCTGCTCCCATATCTCGACCGATTGGAGGTGGTGGTGGTGGTGGTGGTGGTCGTGATGACGGCGGCGGCGAACGGAGCGAAGTAACTTTCTGCGGTTGCGACTTCGGAAGGGGCTTTCTTTGCTTAAAGAATAACGAGAAAAAGTAATGGAATTTGGTGATTATCGCCATTTTCATCCAAAAGAATAAAAAAAATAAAAAGTAATCAGAGTTTGTTTTCGATTTATTTCGGTAAAACTGTTTTTTTACAACCCATTTTCACACAAAATTAATTTTAATATTTTTTATTTTGTTAAAAAAATTAAAAATAATCGTATCCGAAAAAGTTGTTACAAGAAAATATTATATATACTATATTATAAAGTATTTGATAAAAATTATTAAAAACAAGTTTTTTTATGCATAAAGTACTGTTTATTGATGCATATTATTTAAAATTTAAGATTACAAGTAAATTGCGTATGAGTACAACTTATTAAAGCTTCATACTTGAATTCGTCTAACTAACTGCAGATAAACATAATCAAATATTAGATAAACATATCATTTTAAATATAAAAAAATCTAAAATATAATTAGAATAATCATTGATAACTAACAGTATACTTAGTTATTATCTTTATTAAAAATTATATTATTAAACAAAAAAAATGAATTAAAGAAATACATAAAAAAGAGAAATTGTAAAGTCATTTTGGTACTAATATAAATATTTTTTTTTTCAGTTTTTCATAACATCGACCGAGACAAAAAAATAAAATAAAACGAAACATTAAAATCGAGATGTATCTCGCTACATTGTGCGAGTATCCTTCTAGTTAAAAATAAATATATATAAAAATTACTTTCGTTATTTTTATTTTTATTTTTATTTTTAGAGATAGTTTACCAAAATATTTACCGGCAAAAATCATCATTCTAAGTATTTAGTAAACGGTCTCTTAGCCGAATGGTTATTAAAGGACCGTTTACCGAATATTTATCAGACCACTTTACTTTATCTCGTGAACATGACAAATATTAAACATCCTACTCAGTAAAAACAATGATAAAAATCGAGAGAAAAAAATTAATAACTTGCTAATTTTATTTATTCGAATGTGTTTCGTTTTTAGTTCAAATTTATTTTTTAAATGGAGGGGGACGGCCCCTCCAGTCAAAAAACAAATTATTAATTTTATTTTTAAAAAGACAGAAAAATAAAACCAAGGTCGGCATTTGGGTGGAGACTAAATCGAAGCAACCAACAGAAAGGAGCAGAGAGAGAGAGAGAAGAAATGAATCAACCATTAGGGAAGGTTCCAAACAAGCCTAGCACAGACCACGTTTAGGGAAGGCTTCATGGTAAGGTCAATCAGCCTCAACCGGACATCATTACTTGACCACCATGTCATAAGATCTCATTTTGTTTTTGAAGATACGGTCATTTATTTCCTGTCAAACATGGTAGACAACTCCAGCAAGCACTAATCTGCGATTAATAGACCAGATGATCTTGTCTTTTGTGGTTTGCTGGAAGACTCTCATGATGTTAGTCCAGTCATCCGCAAGAAGGTTCAGTGTGGGTTTAATGTCATTCCAAACCTGATCGGTGAAGGACCATTTTGGTATATAAGATGTAAAATTTTAAACATTTAAATACATGGGTAACTGTTGAAGCATTAACCGGTTATCATGCTAATGTGGCGGGTGATATGGTATCCAACTCAATATTATTTGTTGAATCATTAACCGGATACCACATCATTCGACATATCAACATGGTGAGCGGTTAATGCTTCAACCGGTTACCCGCTTACTTACATGTTTAAGACCTTACATCTTACGTACCAAAATGAAAGTTTTGAAGGTACGTTACTTATAATAGGAATCAAGTTAAAGTACGATATTTTTTTCATACAATTTGCATTAAAATAAAATGATAAAATAAGCGATTAAGAAAGGAGATTTCAATAATATGCGATCAACACTAACCATTAGATGACATACTAACGACAATTATTAATTTTAGGGGATGTTTGAGATTGCTTATAAAAATAACTTATTGACTTATTCCGGTGTGATACCGGTAATAAACACTTTTGAGTGTTTGGGTAAACAACATTTTACGAAATTCAAAATCAAATACAAACGTTAAAATTGTTTAAATTTTCAAAGTATAGAGTTTTTTTTCCAAATTTTTACAACTAACAACGGTTTTCTAAAGTCGATTAAAACATTTTTTAGATGCTAATGAACTCCATTAGTGTTGGCTACCGTTTTCGTAATATAAGTTAGAGTGAATTACACTTTTCGATCCTGTCATCTCTTGAAATCTGTTATTTTCATTTCTATACCTTTGAAATTATGATTATCATCCTATATCTATATCTATACTATATTATAATGCATTTGGCTAAAACTCTTAAAAACTCTTAAACTCTTAAA